CCCCTTCTCCTTCTCCTTCTCCTTCTCCTTCTCCTTCTCCTTCTCCTTCTTCTTCTCCTTCTTCTCCTTCTCCTTTTCCTTCTCCTTCTCCTTCTCCTTCTTCTCCTTCTTCTTCTCCTTTTCCTTCTCCTTTTCCTTCTCCTTTTCCTTCTTCTCCTTTTCCTTCTCCTTCTCCTTCCCCTCCTCCTCCTTCTTCTCCTCCTTCTCGTTGTCCTTCTCCCTTTCCTCCTTCTCCCTCTCCTTTCTCTCTTTCTTCTCTTTCTTAGCAAGACTATTTTCCGTCGCATCATGCACTGGAGGCTCTTCACCAACGCCCACCTCTCGGGAGTGCTTTTGTTTCTTCTTTTTTTTCTTGCCCAAGTCCATCTGGACTTCGGTAGGTGCAGCCATATGGCTCGACTCAATGGTTTTGATAGCCTCCGCAACATATTTTTCGTGACTTCGAACAGCCTCCTCCGCTGTGTCCGCAAGCATGTTCTTCCTATCCCTCTTTTTTTCCGTTTGCGATCCAACCAAATAATCGTCTTCCGTTGGCTTCTTGCGTTTCTTTGTCGATTCGCTTTCATTCGAACGTTCAGGACGCATATGAATCTCTGTATTTGGTGCCGCACCTTCGTCTTCAGATGAGCCAATCTCGCCCAAGTCACCGTCGCCAAAACCAGCTGGTCTGAAGCGTGCTTTCAACCCCTTAGGCTGTGCTTTTTTCGATTGCTTTGTCGGCAAATCAGTGTCCAAGAGCACCTGAGCGGTCGATTTTGGACGACCTTTCAGCGCTGTTGACTGTATGCTGACAATTTGTTGGAACTGAAGAACATGTTTAACCGGAGTAGGAAGAACCACATAGCCATTTTCCTCTTTGCTAGGCAATAGGACTCTTGTGGAATCACGAGCTGCGGGATCTGATACTAAAGCATATTCCGCTCCATCATGTGTCATTATGGCTTGTTGCTTTGCGAATTTGTCTAGAGCAACCTCTGTGAGGGCGCGTATTGGCAAAGACGCGGGTGCAGATATGTACCAGATCTCCTTGTCTTTTGTGCTGCTTGGTTGAAAGAGCTTGACCGTTCGGGTATCGGCAATCTGTTCTTGAACGTTCCGGAAACCGGACGGGGCCTTGAAGTCAACGCTTGGCCGCGGGCTGGAACTAATATCGTCCTTATTCATGCCACCGCTCAGAATCTTGGAGCTGCAAATAGTTAGGTTCAGTACTTCATAGAGTGACAAGGGAGCCTGACCTGGCATGACTCTGGCGGACGCGAGCTGATTCATGTCCGGTATGTTGCTTGGCTCCTTTTTCTCTTTGGTTTGCCTCTTCGGACTCTGAAGTAGAGACAGACTCGCTTGATCTGACCCTTGTTCCGTCCTGGGCTTCACCAGCATTTTCATCTTCCGAGCTTTCACTAGAAGAGCTACTGTCATCGCCTTCAGCTATATGCCTAGTCTCCGCGGCGTCGGAGCTTTCATCACTCTCCTCATCATTGCTGCTGCTCGATTCGTTCGACCTTTTGCTCTTTGACGGAGTTCTTGTGTAAGATAACGAATTCTCTTTAGCCAGTGCTGTGTAATGGTTCCTAGTTTCACCTTTCATAGATTCATCGTCACTGTCGGTGATGCGCTCTGCGCTTATGTTCGTTTTGATCTTCTTCGGTTTCGTTGGTGACTTTGTCACTTTCGAAGAGCGAGGCGCCAGAACATCCGTCGATTTCTTTTCCACTGGCATAGTGAACAAGGCGCCGTGCAATGGTCACAAGACTCCAATGCTTAGACACATTGAAAGTTTTGGAAAATTTTGGCGGTGAGAGACGGCAGAAGCAACTGACACTAACCGCATTCAACCAATGGGCGTTTTTTTTCATCACAAGACGAACGGCCATAGACTCTAACAGTTTCTATTTTTCCTCTCTGAAATTGGCCGTCGAGCCTTGATTCGGATCCGGCTGAGCTCATTTGGCTAATTGCTTATGGAATGAGTTGGAAAAGGAAGGCGTCACAAGATCCGCCTGGCAAAGCGAAGCGTCCTGCCAACCAACTGCCAGCTGATGCTCCCAAGTCTGCCCGCAGCGCCTTTCTGGCAAATCAAAATAATGCTGGCAAGGAATCTCCTTTGCACAACGATGCATCATCTTCTATAGACCTCGTGTCCGGAACCTCGACACCTAGTAAGAGCAATGAAAGCACGACGAAAACACGCAAGCCTATGTTACGTCCAGCTGATGCGTACACGTCGAACGATTGCTCCGAGGATTCAAGCTCCAGCGACGAGGAGGTAGCGTCAGATAAGGCCTTGGACAACACAGGCTGCGTGGCCGATGTTGAAGGTTCAAAAATCCCGGAATCCCAATTTCCGCAGACATGGAAGCGGACGCGGGAGCTGATCGCGGGCGAGATCTTGTCACAGCGACTTTCTGGAGTGCGAATCCTTGTAACTGGTACAGTTGGGTCCGGTAAAATGACGTTTGCAAAGTACTTGATCAACTCTTTGCTCGCGCCTCCTGAGAGTCTCGCACTTCAACCGTTCAAATCCGTAGCTGTACTTGATCTCGATCCTACCCGAGCTACTTACGGACCGCCTGGTCATGTAGCTCTTTTTATGGTCAATGAGCCATTAAATGAGCCCAGCGGTTTTATAGAAGTGATGAAAACCGTGCAAAGATGCATACCTGTTGGTTTGTACGGTCAGAGGGAAGATCCAGGTCACTTCCATGTTGCCGTGAACGAGCTTCTCCGCAGCTTCCAGCAACTGCATACTTCTATGCCGTTGTTGATATTCTGCCCTTCTTTTGAACGTGAATCAGATCGTGGAATGGATAGAAGAACTCTGCAGGCTTTGATTCGTACAGCCCAGGCGAACCATATTTGCTGCATTTCGAGCAAAGCCTCTCACGTCGCTGAAGCAGTCGAGGCGATAAACCAGTCAAAAGGACCGGATTCAACAACGTGGGAGATGGAGACTCTTGACGCAAGAGCACAGATGACCATTGCGCAGAGGCGAAGTAAAGCTTTGCGAGACTACTTCCACGGCTCACTTGAATCATCGAGACCCGACATCGCTGGCTGTCGCTCGTTGGGACATTACAAGCCGTATGCTATTTCGTATATACAGACGGATGGCGGACAAACAAAAGACATCTTGGGTTGCTTTGTTTTTGGTGACCTCCCCCCAAATCATTCCTTAATGATGTCTCGAATCCTGAATGGCTCGGTCGTATCGATCGCTATTTTGCACAATGACACCGAGCCTGATCAGCTTGAGATCGGCCAAACCGACCACATTCCGTACTTTGTTGCGACTGATGGAAGCAATCCTAATCCATCGATGTTGCGCCGAGCTAACACCATCGGCTTTGGTTTAATCCATAGTATTCAACGCGATTTCGGTGTGATGTACATCATCGCACCAGATCATGTGGCAAGACGGGTTGCAGAGGCTCCGCCGGAGCGCGTGATTTTGGTACACGGTGTGGCGGACAGCCCTGACTGGGCTTATGCAGATGATCTCGAATTCGGCTCTGAGCCTTGCTATATTGGAAAGGCACGAAAGGGGATGCGAACACTGAAAAGCAGACGTTTTAAGAAGAGGGCGGGTGCTTGAAAGGAGAGTCTATGTTCGAGACTAAGGCGTGACGAGTTTTCGGCCCTTAGGTTTCAATATCTTGTCCATGCCGTTTGCGATGGTTTCCACTGAATTTCAACTCACACGTCTCGAGAACTTCCTGGGGACGCATCGTCCCATGCAGAGCGGGACATTATAGAAAGGTTCGAGAAGGCCTCTATTTGCGCTGTACGCGAGCAAATCATTACGTCTTTTGTGAACGGTTCTTCCGGAGGGCGATCAACATCTCGCTCTCAAACGAAGTGTGACAGTATTTCTCTGACTGCATTGCCAGCGTGAAGATCTCCCTTGCATAGCCATCAGCAATTTGCGCGCGCAATAAACTTGCAGAAGCTCAAGACCATGTGTCGTAAGGCGCATTTTGAAGAACGGGTCCCGTGCAGTATTCTCGCACGCTCCTGTGCTGATTGTCGCCGTGATGCATGCATTCAAAACACGTTCCGCAGTCCCGAACAAGCATTCGCAGCGGGGCCTGTGGGATAACTTCGAGATGCGAGGCTGAATCGGCTGGCGATTGAGGTCGAAGTTCTTCTAAGCCAAGCCTGAAGGCGAACTTGGCAAAAGCGCCTCGTAGACAAATGACTGGGGCTTGCACAGCCGCATCAGTGCTGTTCATAAGTATGGTGCTGCACAGTTCCAAAGCACATTGGCGTTCTTCCCGAATACGCAGATTTCCCGATGAAGCTGCCGACACCATTGCATTATGGCGCCTCAAACAGGTGTACAGGTGTTTCGTGTCGCTCTGCGCACAAAGCCGAATGAGAACAGAGATGCCAAGCAGGTACCAACGTATCGCGCTAGGAGAACTCATAAGAAAAGCCGTGGGGGATGTCTCGCGTGTAAAGACAAACACAAGAAAGTATGGCACGCACCGGGCTCGAAAGGTTCAGTTCAATTATGCTCACGGTTTCAGTGTGATGAGATACGTCCTCGTTGCTCGGCCTGCTCCAAGCGCGACTCTTACTGCCGATACCCCGATGACGAAAGGCAGCAGGGCTCTGGCTCTAGCAAAGCGTTGATACCCAGGCCTTCTATAGATGGGCAGCGCCTTAAATTCACCACCCCGTTTGTGCTTCTCCACACCGGGCAGCACACAGAGCATGACTTGCTCCTGCTGGACCATTTCGTCAAGTCAACCACCAAAGATTTACAAGGCCAGAATGCAACTTTCGTATACGCAACCAAAGCTTTGGAGTTAGCGAAGGAGAAGTCGTACTTGATGCACGCAGCAATCGCCCAAGCAGCCTGCCATCTCAATCAGCTTAACCCCGATGATCCCAAGTTCCGGATGGCTGAAGCGTTCCATACTCAGCTTGCCAGCCGCGGTCTGTGCGAGGCGGTAAATCGGATCAATGGTTTGAAAGATTCCGACGCAGTACTGACTACTGCTATGCTTGTTAATGGCATCAGCTTTTGCTCGGCCGAGTATCGCGATGACGAGTTTGTGCCGCAGTGGTGGTGGCTCCGAGTTCAGCTAGGCCTGCGGGAACTACTCGCTCGAACGAGCCCTTATCACTCAGAAAGCATGTGGAAGTCCTTGTTCGATGCTTCGGATTCGTTCCAAATTTGCGAACCTCCGACAAATGACCTGGCGCAGCGCATAGCAGATTTCTGCGGCATATCTGACAGCTCCACCGCAGAGAACTGCGTTTACTTTGAACCGGTGCGGTGGCTGTGGCCAATCGTCACACGGCCACCGCGGAAGAAGTACCTTTTGCTTTATCTGCGCTTCATAGGCAGCATCACGAACGAGTTCGTTGACTTGTTGGAGGCTCGTGACGAGAAAGCGCTGTTGATATTTGGGCACTGGCTAGCGCTGATGTGCAGTATTAACGAGTGGTGGTCAGTTCGGAGAACGAGAAGAGAGTGTTGGAAGATATGCGACTTTTTGCTGAACAAGCTGCGTGGGCCAGACTTGGAGCTTCTCGAATTTCCCGCTCAAGCGTGCGGATATCTGTAAACCTTACCATCTTATGCGGATTGTTCGTTGCTTCTTTGGATTTCGCAGGCTTTAAGAAATTGATAAAGCATGAATGCTGACAGTAATGGAAGCTGAAGACGAATTCAATTCTTACAAAAGACTGAGATGGATGATGAATCTACATTGCAAATTGTGAGACAAATGTGCTCATCGCTTATGTTATTCGCACGACGTTTGGCTCAGCAGGAAGCTCTCAGGAGGGAACACTCTTTGCACTCGTCTTTGAAGACCTTTCTTGGCTCATGAGCTGCTGTTTCAGCGGTACTTGAAGCCAAGTGTTGTGAAGATTCTTGTGCTAGTCGGAAGCATTTCAACGCTGATTCAATCATCTGCTGCTTTAAATAACTCACAACTTCGCCCTTCCCGCCAGAAGCCGTTGTTGCGTGTCAGGATCTAGGACTTGAAATCCTTCGGCTTCCTTCGGAATCCAGTAAATACGGTCTTTACTGCCTGGTGGAATCATAAAGCCTGTACAAGGTCAGCCAGGTTTGACTCTTCAGAAGCTCGATTCCAGATCGGCAACCTTCTTTTCTCAGACCTGTTTTAAGCTTCTTCAACATCAATGAGACGTATTCCGCCCCCACGCTCTCGCGATCAGCAATACCAAGCTGGGCCCTTTTGTTTTCATCACCACCGTCGACAATCACACGGGCGAATCTAGGCACCGCGTAGCCTGCCAATCCTGCAGTTTTAGTCAAATGCTCCTCGAGCGTCTTCAGAGTCTCTATTTCTGCGCCTAACGAACCGTCTTTCATGGTTAGCGCTGCACAGCCCAGCTGTCCCTCGTAGCCAAACTGGTTCATAGCAATAGCGTACACATTTGCCGATTCAATATTCGGGTGTGACGAGATTGCATGCTCAACTTCTGCAGTTGAGATATTGTGCCCTTTTGCACGATAAGTGTCTCCAAGACGATCGTGAAAGGTAATATAGCCTTCACGATCCTGCGAATAATTAGAGGAGAACTGAAAAAAGTGCTGTCCTACTTACCATGGATAGGGCGTCCCCCATTCTCCAGAACAAGTCACCTTTTTTGAAAACATCACGCAATGTTTTCTTCTCTGTTGCCTCTGCTCCGCCCTCCCCAACATAGTCATGTCTGCGCTGAAGAGGTGGGACGATCCGATTTATAGCCTCGCCAATCTCGCCATATTCAGTCTTCCGGCAAAACCCGGTCTTTGCGTCTCGAACAGGCTCGCCTGTCTCCAGGTCAATCTTGATAATGTAAAAGGTATCTTGACCAAGCCAGCTATTCCGCATGAGTGGGCCCCAGTGTGCAACCTTCGATACTCCTTTTTTATTTGAAAAATTTGAGTTGCTAATCGCTGTAGTACCTTCAGTAGCCCCATAGTATTCCGTAATCCAAGGAACACCAAATCGATTTCGGAAGCCTCGCCATGCAGTAGGGTTGATGCCCAGGCCGTATATTATCTCTAGTCCATTCGCTTTTGATTCATCTGGATGATGAGGGTCTGGCGGTGCCTGGTACAAGTACCTGACCATCTCGCCAATGTAAAATATCATGTTTGCGCGAGTGCGACGGATGTCCTTCCAGAATGATTTCACCGAAAACTTGCGCGCAAGAATAATGGTGCCACCAGAAGCATGAGTAGCTGGCAACAGCGCATAGGCGGCACCGCCGTGAAACATCGGGGTACACAGGTACGTTCTCCGCTTCTTCTTAAACATATGTGGCCATCGATACGGGCTGGTTCCCATCATCGCATGCCCGCATGGCCATATTGCTGCTTTTGGAAGCCCCGTTGTACCTGATGTGAACAAATACTGCGACGTATCGCTAATTCTAACCTTGGGCCTCTTCTCACTCTCCCAGGAAGCCATTGCACGCGTCGCAGAGGGGAGCTCATCATGAATGATGGTGCTCACAAGACGAGGGCGTGCAGCTGAGCTGTTCACATGGGAATACGTTCCATAGTCGTAGAGAATGATCTCCTGGAGGTGCGGAACTCGGTCGTCTCTAAAATTCGTCGCCGACTCTTTCCCTATGTCCAAGCTTATTGCAGCAGTATCATACAGTTCATATGAGCAGATCAGGACCTGGGATTCGCTGATCTTCAAGCAATGTCTGAACGGCTCTTGGCTTATGGATGTGTTTATTGGCGCAGGTATAGCACCAATTTTGAACAATGCCCACCAGACAAAGACGAATTCGGGAGAATTGTTAATAAACATGCCAACCACCGTGCGATTCCTTATGCCCCTGCGCTCAAACTCTTCTGCCAACCGACCTATTTCTCCTCTGAATTCGGCGTATGTCCAGCTCCTGTCCTCAAACAGAAATGCTTCTTCGTACTCATCTTGACCGAAAGAGTGCAAGGTGTGGTAGAAAGACCAATCATCTTCCCCATGAGCCTTGCACAGCTCCTTCCAGTAGCGCTTTTGTTGCCGTGCTGTCCGAATCTGCGCGAGATCTTCACGGATATTGTATTTTTCGTCCAGCGCTTTACCTAGGAGAGCGGTTGCAGCGGTCACAGCTGCTGCAGTTGCTGCTTTCGGAATCACTTTGGGCAATGCTTCCATCGCCTTGTCCATGACTAAGAGATATGTGTGAATCGGTGCCTGCCGTAGCTATTTTGATGATGAGACTTTACATTTCCAAAAGCAAATGAGTTAACAGGCCCGCCACAAGTTCGAGCTTGCAACTTTCTCACTCATGCTCACTTGTCAGAATTCCTAATATGAACAACCGGATCTCGGATAAGTTGGCAGTGAATAACCGCAGGATTGAGATATCTCCACCACGTGAGATATATCCGCGGATATGTGTTAAAGTCACCGAGGGTGTTTTACCGCAGACTTATTGTGCGCCTTGTTCTTTCTAACATCTGTGGATATCAGGAGGCTTTTTAGGTGCCATCCATACATGCGTTAATATTTTCCATCTTTTTTTTTTTTTTTTTTTTTTTGATACAAAACTAAATGATAGGCGAGTAAAGACCTGATGTATAAACTGATAATGATGATGCAATTAGTGGGCCATTCTTTCTGGTTCAGTTAAAAAAGTCTCTTCCAAACACTGTAATATTAGAGAATACAGAATTTTAGTCAAAACCGATGAGATGTTGCTAGCTAGAGCTTTGCCAAACTCTTGGAGCTTGTGTTGCTCGGCTCATCGACGGCCAATTCGCACAACAACAACCCTTCGTTAACTTGCTCGCCCTCTTCGACATCACAAACCCATTTTATAGTACCTTGCCGAGGTGCTCGTACTTCTAATTCCATCTTCATCTGTCGCACTACGCACAACAACTCCCCAGCAGCAACTTTATCACCCACATCAACATACATTTCAACAAATTGTCCCGGGAATGGCAACCTAATATGTGCCTCATTTGTTGGATCGGCATGTCGATGTTTAGAGGATGCAACGTTCGTTTGTGTAGTTGATGTAAGATTCATGCCATATGTTTTACTGCTGCTGAAAGACTGGAAAGTGGCATCTGCCATTAGCTGTATGGGGAAGTTATTTGTCAAAACCCGATCTATCCGCAGTAAATATTCTTCCGCTGTTGCGGACTTGCCTGCCTGCGAACTCTGCTTCATTGTTATATCTTTGAGCTGCAACTTGAAAGTGTCCCCTTTTCTAAACAGCAACGGAGCATTGCCCAAGCCAGCTGCACCAGTTTGCGATGAATAGCTGGTAGTTGATGTAATATAAGGTTCTCGTAAGCTGAGTGTTTTGTTGCCTTCAAGTTCCTGACCTGAGACTATAATTTCGGATAGTTGCGATTCCAGCCACTTAATGTTACACTGTGATTCTCGAAAGTCGGAATGTGATAAAATGCCCAAGAGGACGTCAATGTTTGTCTTGACTCCCTTGATTGTTGTATCTCTCAGCGCGCGCAATCCTTTCTCTATAGCTGCCTGCAAGTTCGACCCTCGCACGATAATTTTGGCCAGTAGTGAGTCAAAGTTGGAGCCTACGGTCGTAGGTTTCGTAGTTGCGAGATGAGTATCAACTCGGACACCAGCACCAATTGGTGGTTGGAACTGAGTTACGCGACCCATGCTCAGTGTGAAGTCTTTTTGAGCATCTTCCGCAGTAACTCGTAACTGAATAGCTGCTGCTGGAGGAGGAAATGATACAGTATATCGTGACGGTAAATTTAAACTTTCAATGGTTGCACCTTGAGCTAAGAGAAGCTGACTTCTCACTATATCAACTCCGGATATTTCTTCTGTTACCGTGTGCTCGACCTGTAGCCGAGGGTTTATCTCGAGGAAATAATATTCGGGTTTTGATTCATGGACAAGAAACTCGAATGTTCCAAGTGAAGAATAGCCAATCTACTCTATTGTGAACACAGTTCAACTTGGTACGAAGTAGTTTCCAACTTACAGCCTTTGCCATTCCTACTGAGGATCTAATAACACGACTGACAAGCTCACGGTCCTTTATTGTCGATGGAGCAAGCTCAACTATCTTTTGGAATCTGTAAAATTCTTTGTCAGCTTCTGTTAATTCAAATTCATGAAGGGGACATGCCTCCTTTGAATACTACACTCTCTTTCCCAAAGATGTCCGACGTTGCCGTAATTATCAGCAAGAATCTGAACTTCCACGTGGCGGAAGCCATCGACAGCTGCCCTCTCTATGAATACTTGACCACTTGGTGACTCTCCGCGTGCACGATTGAAGCTGTCTTCAAGCTCGGACTGATGCTGAACGAACCGGATCCCTCGGCCTCCACCACCATCTACGGCCTTGAACATGATCGGAAGTCCAAAATTAGCAACAAAACTCTGGACATCTTCAAAGTTCCGCATTGGTTTCACTGAAGCAGGTAACGTAGGTACTTTGTTAGCGTCCGCCAAGGCGCGTGCATCTGTCTTGTCTGCCGTCTGTTGAAGTACCCGGGTGCTAGGACCTACAAAGAGAATTCCCGCGTTGGCAAGCTCATCTGCAAATCGAGGACTTTCAGAGAGAAACCCGTAACCTGGATGTACGGCCTCCGCATTAGCTTTTTTGGCAATGCCTAAAAGTCGCTCAACATTCGTAAAATCTGATGGCTGATCTAAGAGAATGCCTTCATCCGCGTACACGGCATGGTTCGAGTCTTCAGCTGTATATATCGCAATCGTATGCATACCAAGCTCTCGGGCCGCAGTGAGAACGCGGATGGCGATCTCGCCTCTATTTACTTAGCTAAATACAGCCAGTCTGACGTATACATACCGATTCGCGACGAGCAACCGTGAAATGCTAATATTCCCAGCCATTGGATACTAGTCAGGATGAGATAATTCTAAATGGTTAGTATGATTCAAGATGTAAAATCCAAGTCTTAAAGACAGATTGCGAAAGAGGTAGTCTAAGTAGCATGCTCATCTGATTCTTAGCGACAGCGATAGAACTCAAAATCCAATAACCAAAATACCCACTTTGTGGCCTCGGAAGAATTTTTCATGATGTGGTAGTAATATGCATGATTCAGATGCAACCGAATAGTCTAGAGAGCGCTCCACTCCAAGATTGCAATGATATCCGAGGCATGAAATTGCGGAGCAGAAAAGCGACTGGGGTTCGGCCAGGTACCACGGAAAGATCGTATAGCAGCATGCAGGCTCCTGGAATTTCCTACGCTAAAGAAGGAATTAGAAAATTGTGAGATAAGGTTCCAGCAAGACCGAAAAGCACAAAAAGGCTGACCTGTGCAAGTTACGAACGTAAATCTAGCCAATAAGCCATACAACCAATCGCGAAAGCAAACCAAAGTGGTCGATGAAAGGAGTGAGGACTCTGAGGAAACAATGCCAGCCAATAAAGACTCTGCCATCAAACGACTCAACCAGATCTCCTCGCACATTAAGACTGACTCCCAATCAAAGGGTGGAAAAGGCAAAAATACACGCGGCTCTTCTCTGCCCGCAGACTGGTCTGACGTACTTAACGAGCTTGAGGTTATAAAGAAGTTCGCGCGAACGCCGAAGTATGAGACCACGGGCTATAAGCGTCAGAAAGAAAGTGGAAAATTATGGGTTCGTGAGCGTATTGAGCTACTTCTTGACCCGGGCTCATTTGAGGAAGTCGGCAGTGCTGCTGGTACCGCAGTCTGGATGCGAAATCCAGACCAGACGGGCACCATAACCGAGCAGGAGAAGGAAGTTATCAAGGACTTCACTCCAAGTAACAATGTACAAGGTTTTGGGAAAATCAGAGGGCGTAGGGTGATGTTAACTGCTGATGACTTCACTCTGAGAGCTGGTCACGCAGATGGAGCTCTCATGCCGAAAACTTTATACATGGAAAAGCTGTGTGTGCATTTGAAGATTCCTATGATCAAACTGGTTGACGGCGCGTCTGGCGGAGGCTCAATAACAAGTTATCGTGAGCACAAGGCATCGTATCTTCCAGAGCTAGAGTTGCTTTCGTGGCTGGCAAGCATAGCTGGACCAAAATTCTCGAACAAAACTGACATGTCACAGATGAAAGAGCTTGATCTTGGAATCCCACAGTGCGCCGCAGTCGTCGGTACTGCTGTTGGCCTCGGCGCAGCCAGAGCAGCTGTGTCGCACTTCAGCGTTATTGCTGCAGATATCGGAAGTTTGTTTAACGCAGGTCCTAAAATTGTCGAGGGTGCAACGTTTGAGGAAGATCTAAGCTTTGATGCTCTAGGTGGCCCGCGAATCCATTGCTCAAACGGGGTAATCGACAATATCGCTCCTGATGAGAAGGGATGCTACGACCAGATTGCCCAGTTTTTAAGTTACGTACCTAACCATGGCGGTATATTGCCTCCAGTTTTACCAGGCGACGATGATCCCAACCGACTATGCCCCGAGTTGAGAACAGCCATCCCTAGACGTGCTCAGAGGATGTATGAAGTTCGCCCTATTATTGAGTCACTAGTTGACAAGGGATCGTTTTTCGAGATTGGTCCATACTGGGGAAATACGGTTGTTGTTGGGCTCGCACGGCTAGGCGGTCGACCTGTAGGTATTTTTGCAGATGACCCGATGAACAATGCGGGCGCATTAGACACGGCGGGATCACAAAAATATTCCAAGCACCTTAGACGCTGCGATGTCATGGGGCTGCCCATAGTTCAGCTTGTTGATATTCCCGGATTTGCAGTTGGAACAGTTGCTGAAAGAAGTGGTGTGATGAAATGGGGCCTCGAGATGTACAAGACACTGTTTTCTACGACCATACCTATCTTTACTGTCATCACTAGACGCTGCTATGGTATTGGAGGTGCCATATTGGTTGCAAACAGAGACCCAAACACTAGGGTTGCGTGGTAAGTCTCTTCCAAAGCCATTGCCATTCCTTTTCTGAGTGTTGTGCAGGCCAAGCGGGAATTGGGGCTCAATCCCTCTTGACGGTGGTATAGAAGGTATGAGCTGCACCGCTATTATTGGAAATACTATTGGGATATTGATCTGTTATAGTCAATCATCGGGCGGAGCTTAAACGCGCTGGTGATAAACGAGATGAACTATATGCTCGACTGGAAGCTGAATACATGAATCTCCAGAACCCGGTGCGAACGGCTAATCGCTTTGGCGTGGAGGAAATAATTGATCCAGCAAAAACGCGATCGATAATATGCAGATGGGCAAAGCATATGTAGGTAGTAATCGTGCTTAAAGCATCAGGCGGACTAATTCATGATAGGTATGAGAACAATTTGATTGAACGCCTTCAGCAAAGAGCTTGCGGTAATATCAAACCCTCCTTTCGCTAGCTTTGGTAGTGCGGTTCATGTACTACACAAGTGAAGGCAATTCAAAATAAAGGCTTTGTATTTGAACAGAACATGTTCATTCTTCCGCGATAAGTCATTCTTAAATTTAAACGTTGTACTGAATCATTAGAGACATGTGTATAATCGTGTTTCAGATCTATTTGAATCTACCTGATGTGGTGGCATTCGTTCACTGTATCAATGGCTACAAAAGTTCGATTCTAGGCTTAACGATTCTATGTTTCTATTGAAAATACTCCACAGAAAGTCTGCATAACATTTTTTCCTTTGCTTCTGTCTTTGATGTTTTCTCAAGTTTCCATACATAATAGAGTCAGATTTTGACGTGTTATACGATATCGAAATACATTCACATGGTATCACCGCCTCAAGGAGTTTCTGCTTCAACTTTTTCCTCTGCTTCTTCAAGGACTCCCGCAATGTACTGAATCAGTTAGTAACTCATCGTAACTTTCCCATCTGCGTTTTGAAAACCTATATCGTCAACAAAAAGTGCACCGATTTCCTCTAGGGGCCGGCCAGTTGTTTCTGGAAACCTTGATGATAACTTAGCATCCAATGAGAATCTTTATGATTCAACTCACACCCAGGATGCAATAACCATATAAATAACATCCATGAATATGATTATCATAAAAAATTTCCAGCTGATACGCTCGATTCCAAGTGGAGTACCCTGAACCAGCATAACGATGACACAGCTTTGGACTCTGCACGCAAAGCCAACTCCAGTTGAACGAATGGGCGTAGGTAAAATCTCTGGAATATAAGCATATGCCATTGAGTTTGTGATGAAAGCATAGCCGACTAAGAACAAAAACATTGCGAGTGTTGTTAGATCTCCGTATATTTTGTGTCTATTGCCAGAAATCTCAAGCAGCGCCCAGAAAGCGGCAATCAATATTGACACGACAAGAATATTCTAATCGACTTGGAGATAAAAAAGGCCTGAAGTCGGCCCATTTTATCGAAAAGTAGAGAGCCTTTTGTCGTGGATAATACTTTGACACTTTCCCGTACCCCAACTAATATCATGGTAAGTTTGTTCTTTATACTAAGAGCATCACACAACAGAACTTGATAGTTTTGTAGAAGTATTATTCCAGTTCCTTGTTGGCCTACCATGAAGATTGTACAGATGATGAGTCTCTTTCGGTACGACGGAACCTTGAATATTGCTCGCAAATTGAGTTTTTCGCGTCTCTCAAGGTGGGGTCGAGATTTGATCTGATGGAATTCTGCATGGAAGAGGCTCGAATCATCATCAAGGGCATGGATGCGCTGTAGGACTGCTAGGGCCTCCTCGTCACGGCCCTTCATAGCCAACCATCGAGGGAAAAATTGCATAAAGACCGATCTGCTGAGCATGAGGAGCGCACATATCAGTTGGAAGTCAGGGAAAACTTGCCATGCGGGATCACAATTAACATAGGAAAGTACAAGACAGAACCACTCCGTGTTTAAATAGGAGAACATGACGTTGAAACTAGGTACTATGAGAGGAGAAATACAACGTAGTAATTTTTGAAATACCGTAAAGCCTCCCAGACGACCTCGAACTGATCTCATCGTTAAAAACTGAAATAAAGAGAACGAATCGTTCACCTTGGGGCGGAGAGATCTTGGAAGCGTATCTAATGTCGCCGCTAGTGTTTTGATGATCTCAAAAAAAAGATATTGAAACTGCTTACAAGGGACAAACGGAATGCACAATACCACATGCATACCCTCCAACCACTCGGCCCACGAAGAGCATGCCTTGATTTCGTGCACCAGTTTGGAGGGTAGCTCCAATCAGTGATATGACAGAAGCAATTTGAATTGTTCGAGGACGACCGTATTCATCCGCAAGCCAAGTCATGGAGAGGGACCCAAGTGCATTTCAGGTATGGTAAACGTAGCCCAAAGCTCCAAGCGTATTGAAGTTAGACTTGAAAAACTTGATAAATCGTGGATATCTGAGAATTAAGGTTGTACACCCGCTATCATATCCATAAAAGAAAGCCCCAATCGTAATGTGAATAACACATATTTAGTTGTAGCGATTCTCAGCTGCGGTGGTAAAATCAATATACTGCTTTAAACGTTTCATGAATGATAAACTTAGCCGCAGCTTTAGTATCCACATGGTTGTGGAATCTAAATGCTGTGAGTTATCAGCGGGCTTCGGCTATATGGGAGAACTCGCGTTTTTGGGGAATGGACTTTCAAGTCCTCCTGAAAAATTGTTCTGTATTTTGTGCTATTGGTTAACTCAAGTTGCCCCGGATTTACCTCAATTCGCCGTAGAATCGACCAACTGCTGCTTTAGTGCAATCAGTCTCTCAGGTAAGATCTTGTTAGCTGACTTCTGTCGGGTATGCAAAGCTCGTACGGGCTTGTTGGATGTATACAGCGCATTTCGTACTCAGTTTCCATCTTGAATTAGATGTGAAATGCTGACGGCAGATCCATGGTTCCAAAGTTTGAGATTGACCATTGATCGTCCCCACGAAACCATTCATCCATGCCAAACTCATCAGAAAATGATTGAAAATCCGCATTTGTACCGAATGCAACACCACTCGCTGCTGGACCATTTGTATTCCCATTTGAGCTCATTACAGATGGGCTAATTGCTACGTCTTCTGGAGAAAATATATTGCTTAGCTGGTCCACTGTTTGCATTTTGTTTTGTGGAGAGCCTCCGCCGACGTTCTTGTCATGAAAGCCATTCGATTTCAAAGTTGCGTCTAGAAAGCGGTACGCGTGGCTTGCGCTCCCGTATGTATTTTTCAAAATTCGAAGAAAGTCTGCGCATCGTTGAAGTGCCACAATTGCTGCTTGTCGAGTATCTTCCTCAACCGACTTAACATCAAGAAGATTTACAACTACAGCAGCTACCACATTTGCGACACTCGTTGCATCTAAGTATTGTAAAAGTCCAAGATCATGAAGTTTCGTATTAATGCGCAGAAGTTCTTTTGCCGCGTAACGAATAAGTCCTCTAGCTTCTTCGCTCGACACATAGGGGTTGCTGACATGTGAAGAGTTGCTAGCAAGTGCCAAAGGGCGATTTAGAAGACATATAGCGTCGTAATATATCATATGTAGTGATGCTTGAGCAACAATCAATCCTCGATCGCGAAGGGTATATGTCGATTTTGCGTTCAGGTCGTACATTGCCTCGATAGGAAGCGTAGTAACCCAATTCTCTAGCTCACTGGCACAACTATATGCATCTGCATAGGTCTTGGATAAGTTTTTTGTCGGATATCCCGACGAATGGTCTCGAATGGCACACATAATTGCCACCGATCGTCCAATGCAAACGCAAAGCTTAGCTTTCTCGATAGATATGATAGCTAACTGCTGTTGTATGATGGTGTCTCGAGCTACAGGACATTCGTTTGGAATGAAGCGGCACATTTTGGATAGTGCCGCTATGTCAAAGTCAGAAATGCTAAGCATAGGTACGTCGAAATATGTAATCCGAGATGGTCTTCCTAGTCCCATGGCCACGACATGCTCACGAACGTAGCAACACCACCAAAGGCGCCGTCGTAGTTTTCGTTTATGATCGTTGTTATTGTTGAGTTGACATACATCGAGGTGAAGACCAATCGAATGGGCGTGAGAGAGAGCTAATCCGATCCAATACCAGGCATCTTGAATTGCATCCATGGCACCGTGTGGTGTGCTTGACAAAAGGGTTACTTGGGTAAGGACCAAAGTCTCAGTCTCGGCACCTAGGTCGTAAAGCAACTGCAACAATTCAGCATATGCGCTATGATTTCTTAAAACAATTCTACCTTGGTCTTCGCATAAAATGCCGTACGGGCTTCAAGTTTCGAACAGTATCCCATGCTCCTGACATGCTTGGGCTCCACGAAGGGCAAAGCGGCATAAATCATTGCCATCAGCAAAACTATACTTACGGTCCCACTCGATCCAGTCTCGTCATTGATCGCGATCAAGCAGGAGTTGAGATCCATCAGAGGCAATAGGGGATGTACGAATTCGACGTATCTGCACATGATGATTTGTAAATGATTACGATCAGGTAGGTTCAAAGCTCCCTTGGTAGACAGAAAGGCTAAATCTTCCGGTGATAGAGAAGTGGGAAGCTTGCGAACGTATAATGGGAGCGTTAAGACCGGTTGTGCCAAACTGTACAATGCAAACGCGGCATCCACGCTTTTTTCAGTGCCCTTTGTTTGAACACGACTGGGCAGTGGTGTGGATTCATGAACTACAAGCATCGCAGAAGAAAGTGTGTCGTCATTTACATGTTGTTTCGGTCTCTCTGACTCAGTATCGCGAGCGGCTTGCAAGATGTGGCTATCATCCTGGTCGGGAGGTAAGTGAATGGTCCTTAACAGGGATCAGTAAGATAGCCATTGTGAAAGATGTCCAGGTTTCTCACTTTCGTCGCTTATTTTTCATTAATTCGCACGTGATGTCATCTAGCTTGCAGTTCGTACAGCCTGGCGGGAAGCCAGTCGCAACCAAATCGCAACGCACTTTTCGAGTTCTGCAGCTTTTGCACGCTTGCGCAGCTCTTTTTTTTCGCATTGGTCGTAAAGGTTCTTGCTCCATTGTCAACGGGTTACTGATTACACACACGTCTCGAGGATTTGATATTAGCCAGCGCCTAAACGAGAAGAGATTGGCCAAAAGATGCACGGAAATTTGGGTGACACGAGGTCGGGAGTAATCAAGAGGTCAGGCATTTCACATAACTTAATTTGGGTTCGGTCTCCTCGCCATGGAAGGTATCCTGTGGGGATAGGTAAATAGCACAAAGCTGCGAAGCTCGAGTCAAGCTACTGTTGATTCACGCTGTTTCTCGGCGATTGAGGGAAGTCAATAATGCAGGTAACTCTGGGGTCTACATGCGGGGTACCCCAGATCCTTATCACGTGGTAGTCTTGACTTGAGCATGGAATATGTTATCCTTTCCCCACCCAATTGCTGAGAGGTGACTCCGCACCCTACTCGATTGTCCATTCGCGTGATTCCTCTCGTGAAGGCGAACAGAAACGTCCGCCACCTTTGAAATGTGCAACGAACGCGCTGGAACCAAGAGAAGACGTCTTGGACTAGATTCATCCCTATTTTCTGATGCGTGCGTGGAATTGCCCAATGTAACCTCCATTATAACTAATTAAAGTAAAGTCCTAGAAATTCCGATAATGACATAGAAGATTCACCGCCGAGAGGGACCCCTCGTTCCTGTAGAGACGAAAGCCCCAGGCCTGTGTCATATTGTTGGCAGCACCTTCAGCCATCATGGTTGTTATCTTGCCAGACGCTACTTGCTTCGATAAATGACACGAGGAGACAATCTTTGTGCGAATCTTTCAGCAATGGATTTAACGCTTTTGTCCCATTGCTCTCGGAGGATGAGATTTTGAATATCTCTCAACCACAGCAGGAGCAGCATGACAGTAGTGGGATACAACTGTCACTTGCAGTGCTATCAATTGGTCTCCTCTTTGAAGATGCTTGTGATTCAGAGTTTCAATCTCTTCATTCGTCTAGTAGCTCTAGATCAGCATTACACGTAGCCCTGAAAGAGTCCCTAGAGCAGGGTCATCGCTGCGAAAATTACATCGACCACCTACCTCTTCTACTACTCCTTTCTGAACTTGAACGTTCTCTGGACCTCACTGGATCTGCTGATCTATATCTTAGGGAAGCTGTACATGTGGCGCGGAGATTATCGAATAGCTTCAATGTATTTGCTCCGGATGAGGAAGTGATTCGAAGTTGCCGCTACATCCGTGCATGCGACTTTCTCAGATGTCAATGGGCCCTCTTCGGCGATTTACTCCATGGCTTGCGACCAGAGTATGTTTACGAAGACATATCCATAGGATCAAGTCCAAAACGTCAACTGATTGAGGGAGACCGAAACAAATCAGCACATTCTGCAAACCATGATCTTCTTTTGTTGGCTCTGTCAACATTATCCTCTTCACAGGCCATCAAAGATCGTCCGCTTCGGAATACACACCAAAAATTAAGCGCTTGGTACCAGAGCTTACCCAATTTTCTGGGTTGGAGATCTTCAAGACTTGATTGGAATCCTTTATTGTACTTTCTCCATATTCAGTATTATGCGAGCCAATTGATACAGTGTCATCTTGCCAGGGGTTCACTCAGAAGGTCGCAAGGGCGTGATTGGCGTTTTTCTTCCTCTCGGTATACTCTATGCAACGAATGCACCCATTTCGCCAAGCAGATTACGGATCTTCAAACTGAGATGGCTACGAAGTACAGAGTGCCGAAGTGGCCTATAATACTGATATTTCATTCCTGGCTTGCTACACGCGTTCTTTTGGTCTCGGCGGTTTCAATGTCAGGCACCGAGAAGATAGGGTCAAGTGTACATCATCTACGCAGGCTTCGCAAAATTCTGCGTGGCTCGGGTGTTGGCTCTCGGATAGTTGCGCAAGATGCTCTAAATCAATTGAGTTCAGCGCCTGACAGCATCAGACAAGCATTTTCTTCGGATGACGAAGAGGAGAATATTGAATTTCGCGTCCACGCTTCAGATTGTGGGAGTTCAAGTATTATAGAACTCCACGACCACGATGGGCTCAATGGATCTTCCTCCTTCGCTGTACAGGACTCGCCAAATGCACGTAGTACACTTGGAGCACGAGTAGGGAGCAGTCTCGACAAAGTACTCAACCACGACGGCAAGACACCCAAGCAATTCCCAAGTACAGTTATTCCGGCACAATCTCCATGTTCGCGGGCAAATGGTGAAGATCGCCTAGTTTTAATAAGCGACCCGGTATTTTGCGCCTACGTCGACGAGATGTCATATATTGTCGGCCAATGCAACAGCCACCTAGAGGAACGCGACTTGCAAAACTTGAATGACGGGCAAGGAATATCTTCATGTGTGACGATTCCAATGGACCCATTGGGGCAGCTCCGGATGCAACTGCGGCATGATCCACTTCATATGCGGTCTGAAAGTGCAAATAAGTCGCACGAGACGACCAGTGATGTTTTTCTTTCCCCTGCTGTGGATGCTCTTACATAAAGACGTTCTTTCATGGCAACTTATTAGTAGCGAATTGAGTTAGTGTAGAATGTCATGAGTATTTTGGCCATATTTCATAACAAAAGCTGTTTGAGGCACGATGCCTCTCTTCTAGAGCCTCCGGAAAGAATCTACTCAATCATTGTCACTAAGCTTAGTGACTATGAGATACGAAGAACGTTATTTCCTTTTGGATCCCAGATGAAACAGTTTACATGACGTTGCTGCTGTGAAAAGACTTACGCATGTTGAACTAGCGATTAGGTTTGCTCGATTATAGAATTACGCTAAAATTTGAAAGGTCTTGTTTCAAGACTTGACGATATTAAAATTAGATTTGTCGAGGCTCTGGATCTGGACATTATTTGTCCAAGTCATATTCTTAGTGTTTCTAGTCAATAAATTATGCAACAAGTCGCGCACAAATTTCAAGAACTGCAAGACTGGACAATCCATATATGAGTTGCCTTCCGAACTAGAAGAGCCAATTTGGAAGTATGGGAAAATCAGTAAGTGGCATTTCTAGTGAGGGTTGTAGTCAAGAGCCAAGGAAGTATTCTTATGCTATTCCATGGGTGTGTAGATAGCAAGAATACAAATATGCATGAGCCGTTTAAGAGCCAATGCCCTCCCTTTTTTAACAGCGCGGTCAAGTTCATATGTAACTATTCCGTCGAGTCTCGTGTTATCCCTCTTTGTCAACGCCATTCTCCAGGCTAATTACACAAGGCAATGTCTGCTCATTCTTAGTTGACTGACTTTTTATTTGCATCTCTTCTCAATAATATTTGCGCCATGCTCTTGATACTCCTTCTTTGAGATCCACATCTGCAGATGAATGTTAGTGCATCATTACGAACTATGAACTCGCCACACTTGCCTGGTGAAATGTACCCAAGCTCCCGAGGATGCTACCGCCGATCCAACTAGCATATTTCCTCTCAACAATCTGACTACTTGCTTGCACTCTCACTCTAGGGCCGGGATATAGCGCGTTGACCTCATTGTCAATCCGTCTCGTCAGACCCTGCAGCAACGAGCCGCCACCACACACTACGATGTTATTCAGAAGATTTGGCCGCACTTCTGAATCTACACTTGCTAATGAGGCCTTGACCAAAGCTGGTATCGTCTGCTCAGGTTTCGGCTTGGGTGTTGAATCATCCGTGTATGCCATGTTCTCGTCGAACAGACCCTCGGGAATCCGAAACCGCTCCGAGCCAAACACAGCATTCCAGCCATCCGGCATTTCGAAAGGTCGGCCAGGCCATGTTTTGGCGATATCCTCATTCGTGCTGCCAGGCATCCCGCTCGACAGTCTGCCTTGTTGCTCCCAGGTTTGTACTACACTCTCCTTGAATTCGGTGAGAACTCTTTCTTCTTCCCACAGTCGAAAACTTTCTGTAGGTGGCTTCTTAAACGTATGGTATGTCGCTTGAGAGGGCTGCTGGGCCTCAACCACGGTTTTGCGTGCGACCATGTAGTGTGGCACCAAGGGTACTACAGGCGTAGATTGCGAGAACATCAATCGAATCTGCTTGCTAATCCAATTTCCTCCTAAAGGTGAGTTGCGCACGCCCTTACGTAGGAGTATCCCGTCAAGGATGGGAGAGACTTGAATTCCGGACGCGCCAATGTCAATGACAAGTGCAGAGGATTTCCCAGAGGAGAATCTAAAATAGTGGTTAGCGCGGTCGCTCGCTCTTGAATTGCTGAGGTTGAAAAAAACCTACGCAGAGAGAACGCCCGTTCTGCCCAACCAGAAAGCGGGCACATCCCAATCCTCCATGGCGATCTGAATAGCCTTCTCTCTGCTTTTTGCGCTAGTTTTACCCGGCTCGCTCATCAGTAATGGATTGTCGCTCATGGGCTTTTCCTCCTGCTCTACGGCATCAATTTCCATGGCTGTATCGCCGTTGGCGTCGTTTAAACCATTCGTCCTGGGATCGCTCTGCTTCGGCCCAGTTAGTCTGCTCGTGATGCTGAACTCCCATAACTTCGCCGCAATGTCCCAGTCCTGAACCCATTCCTCTGCAGTGATGCCATTCAACGGATTCAGGATCTCCAGGTCTGGCAGAGGCGTGTGCAGGGCGTTCTCGCCAAATAGAATACGCGGATTTTCGTCAGAGCCGTCCGTGGCGAGCCGGCCGTAGTATGTGGGCACAATGGACTTGGGCGTGTCTTCACCTGCAAAGCCGGCACGTGTGGTCGAGTATCCCGGGTCGAGCACCAGCGCTGCGACTTCGTCTACGCGTGCAATTGTGAGTCAAAATGTGTCAAAACTCAGCTATTGCCGCTGAGACGGCGCCAAGTACGCGATTAGATCCTTACCTCCACCATACTCGGGTTGCGGCTGCGCGTACTGATTGGGAGCGGCCATCTCCACTGTCTCACCGGCTGGATTGGTTCTTCAGATCGACAGCGCAGAGGCGTTGAAGCAGTGAAATCGTGTTGCTGGACCACTGCTCAACTAGGCGCAAAGCAATATCATGTCTGCCACTTGAGATTCAAGGCTTCGATCATGTTGATGCCTGAGGCGGCACAGACACGGTTAGCTCATCTTAAACTTACCATCTGGCAAGTCTCCTGAGAGGTCGTATCGCGCAACGAATCTAACTACCAAAGCTTCTCCTCTGCCGTCTTGCTTAGAGCCCGTGGCTGTTAGAGATGCTGCAGACAGTATGACATGGCTCCAATCTGTAAAGAGGCTCTATTCCCTCGATACTCTAGATACTCGTTTTGTCGTCCCGTCGTCTACTCCACCCAGAGATGCAGAGACGGAACTGAGGACCGATTCTACAAACCCTAGTTCGATCGCATCTTCGGCACCGGCTAAAGATGGGCAATCAAACTCTACACTCAAAGCTCGATCCGCTGGTGATGTTCAGTCGCCGTTGTGGAATACACCCGAATTCTATTTCTACTATTTTTGCTTCATAACGATTGTGCCATACATGTTCAAAACCGGATATGACGTATCGAAAAGTAGGTTGCTCCTCGCACACATTGAGCTGGGTTACTTTGCTCGATGTACAAAGTATATAAAGGATGTAGCTGATCATGTGATAGCGACACATCCGGGTTATCCACAGTACTCTCACCTTCTGTCAGAGGGATGGATCCCAGGCCGGAAGGTCGTAAGTATTTTGTTCCTCCTAGGCCAAATGTCTTGTTCTCAGTATTTCAGGATAATTCAGACGCTCAATATTCGTCTTTTCGAGACAATTTGCCTTACTTGGCCATCGTCTTAGTTCTTCATCCTGTACTTCGGAAGCTCTATGACTCCTTTTGGCGCTCAAATTCCTACATCGAAGTTAAAAAATCTAATGGTCACGGTCGGAATGGTCATCAGCTCACTATGGGTCTCACTGCGAGCGCAGCAGCAGATACACGAATGGCCCAGCGAATTACGTTCGACTTCTACTTCGCCCTTATGTTCATTGTGGCCTTGCACGGCTTTTCGTCTCTAAAGGTCCTATTGATTCTGCTGATGAATTACAAAATTGCGAAAAATGTGCCGAAGCAATACATTCCAACCTGCACCTGGATCTTCAACATTACGGTTTTGTTTGCGAATGAACTTCTGAGAGGTTATCCATTTACTTTTGTCGCTGCTTCAATTCAGGGCTCGGACAAAGCCTCAAGTGCCGTGCTGCTTGGTGAGTGGCTAGACTCACATGGCGGTTTGATCCCGAGGTGGGAGGTCTTGTTCAACATCACTGTGTTAAGACTAATCAGCTTCAACCTCGACTACTACTGGAGCATGAATATGCGAGGTGGAAGTGCCGTCGAGGTACGTTCTGGTGTATCAATTTGCTATGCATTGCAACTGATGTACCAAAGAAGAAACAACTTGATCCCTCTAACCTAAGCGAACGTGATCGTGTTGCAATGCCAGCGAAGAGCGAAGACTACAACTTCCGTAACTATTTGGCATATGTCCTTTATTCTCCCCTCTATCTCACGGGCCCAATTCTTACGTTTAACGATTACATCTCCCAGTCACGATATCAGACACCATCGATCAAGCTTGACAGAACCGTTCGCTACGCCATCCGATTTTTGCTCTGCCTCATTACCATGGAGCTTGTCTTGCATTACATCTATGCCGTTGCCATCTTCAATGCCAAGCCGGATTGGAACATGTACACGCCCATGCAACTCAGCATGCTCGGTTACTTCAACCTGCACATAATCTGGCTCAAGCTGTTACTTCCGTGGCGCTTCTTCCGACTTTGGTCACTTATCGATGGAATCGATCCGCCAGAAAATATGACAAGATGTATGAGCAACAACTACTCTGCGCTCGCGTTCTGGCGTGGTTGGCATCGGAGCTACAACCGTTGGATTGTACGGTACATCTATGTTCCTCTTGGTGGAAGTAGTTCTGATGGCCTGCTGGGCAAGGCGAGGAGCATCTTGAATTATCTGGCCGTATTCACCTTCGTGGCACTATGGCATGACATCAATCTAAAACTTCTCATGTGGGGATGGTTGATCACTTTGTTTGTCGTGCCGGAGATCCTAGCAACAATCTGGGGTCGGAGGTTTCGGTCGCAGCCGACAAAGTATCGCATTCTTTGCGGCATTGGCTCAGTGTTCAACATTTTGATGATGATGGTAGCCAACCTCGTCGGCTTTGCAATTGGAATCGATGGGCTCAAAGGCTTGGTCGCCGCAATTTTCGGCAGCTCGTGGGGTGCGGCCTTTTTGGCCGCAGCATGTGGCACCCTCTTCGTCGGCGTGCAAGTCATGTTTGAGGTGCGGGAACAAGAGAAGAGAGAAGGTATCAGGATGAAGTGTTGACCGAGATTTTTTGATGATACCAAAAAAATGTAATAATTAATTTACACCCAAGTTATGACTTTTCATGTCGTTGAACCACCGACAGTTAGCTCGCTCAACTATGCATTTCGTCCTTTATCACTCCAGAACGTCGAGTATTCCCGTTTCGGGACCCTTGTTCGCCACGACTGTTGCGTCCACCCCGTCGAGGTTTGTTTTGCCCAACTCTCAAGCCTTTGGTTCCTCTAAGTCCCATTTTATTCACGATGGCCGTCTCCAATTCCGGTATCTCCGGACAGTCCAGTCCATCCAAGGCGTATCTGTTTGCCTCCGCAACCAGATCTTCGTTGCTCCACCTGGTATACTTCTTCATCGCTTTATAATATCCCAACCATCCCTGGTATATCTTTGCCTTTTTCTCTTCGTCAAGGGTGTCTAATGCATCTTGGATAGCCGATGGAGCGACCTGAGCGTTGTATTCGGAGAAGTTGACATCTTTTATATCTCGCAAAAAGGATTTCTCGGCTTCGGCAAGTATCAGTATTCCTACGCCGTCAGCATCGGCACGAGCCGTACGACCCAGGCGATGGATGTACGATTCACGACTCATCGGCAAGCCAGCTTGAATAACGTGAGTAACGAGAGGAAAATCCATGCCGCGGGCGATTACATCCGTGGCAATGCAGATAGCATGCTTGGAGTTCCTGAAGATGTTGGTAGCAGCCGTGCGTTTGGGCTGCGACATTCGCGAGTGCATCGTCAGGATCGGAATCGTCGCTCCATATTTATGCTCAAGAATATGTGAGTAGAAGTCCGACAGCACAGCCGTCGGAGTGAAAATAATTGCCTTGAATTCTTGCGCATTCGAAAGCTCAGATGCGACAACAGAGACGAGCGTTGGGGCAACATCGTTCATGGTGCGAATGGTGAGGAGATACTGTTTGACCCTTTTGTGCATGTTGCCTTCGCCCTCGGGAATAGTAGATATGGTCAGGTAATCCGGCTTCAAGATAGTCTTCGCAATGGAAATGATCGAATCGGGGATTGTCGCTGAGAAGAGCATAGACTGGCGTTTTTCCTTTGGCGGAATGTGTGCAAGAATTCTCTTGATGTCCGGAAGGAAACCCATATCTAGCATACGGTCTGCTTCATCCAATACCAGGGTTTTCACAAACGAGAGCTGATACCTCATATGTTCATCTGAAAGGTGATCGAGCAGCCTCCCCGGCGTAGCAACAAGAATATGGCATCCGCTGTAAATCTGCTCACCTTCTTTATCCTTGTTCGTACCTCCAATCGCTGTTCGTACTTTAATTTGAGGAAACGTCGAAAGTAATCTTTTCGCTTCTGCGGCAGTTTGAATAACTAGCTCACGTGTTGGACTGAGTATGAGCACTGAAACGCTGACTGGCTCGGCGCGGAGCAACTTGTCGATAGCTGGAACCAGAAAAGCCATCGTTTTACCAGTACCAGTCCGAGCTTGGGCAAGCATGTCGACAGTCCCTAAGAGAGGTTCAATTGTTGCTGCTTGAATTGGTGTTTGGTGTTGAAATTTGAGGTCGTTGATGATGGTATTCAGGACTTGAGAATTGATCTTTCCCTTCAGCACCTCAAAAGATAGCCCACTAGGAATAGGCTCATCACTAGCGGATGCGAGACCAGACGAAAAGCCGTCATGGCTGCTAGAGGCTGCTATCTCATTATCCTCAGGCTCACTAGTGTTTGAGCTTACAATAGTTGCCATATCACTCTTTGACTTTCCATAAGAACTGTCTTTAGATTGACGGCCATGGATCGTTTTCTTCGACACGCCCTTGTTATTCGAAGTCCCGTGTTTGTGCTTACCCATATTGCAGTGTGGCACATGGAAGATCAGATTGATATGAGTGACCAGTCTCACCCTGCTTCGTGGGTCTTGTCTTAACGGTTGAGGTGCAAAAGTACTTTGATGTACCCTAAGCTTGGAGTTTGACTGGATCGTAGTAATGCTTCGATGAATTATGCCCGGTAATCTTTCAAGTATTTACACTTCAAGGCAGAAAATAGCGAAAGCGTGCGATGCCCAAATATCTTGAAAAAAAAATATACCACTACGGCTTAAGTTAGGCTAGGAGGAGGGGATGACGTCACGTGAAGCTCCGTGGGATCAAAGTGGATCACTCAAAGTACCTCGCTTCGCAACTTTGCACAATCACACTAGCCCTTGATTTATGATCATTGTTAGTTCGAAAGCCCGATGCATTGACATAAGTATATGTCCTTGTATGCGGAAGGCCTGTAGTTGCCAGGTCCAACGAGTTCAACGGTATGGGTGATTTTGAATTACTGATTAAGAGTTGGCCATGACTATGCTACTGTACTTTTCTATACTTCACGGCTACTGTAAAAGAGGTCATTTGAAGCACTCCTCCCACTTTCCGCCGGCTCTGGCAAAACTGAGGCTGTTGACGAAGGCACCAAGGCCACACATGCCGTTTGTATCAGAACCACACAGCGGCAACGGCACAACCCTATCGTTGACCAGAATTCTAACCCTCTCATGATCATCGGAAGTAGGAGAGCCGGCCTCACAATGAAGCTTCTCGATGTATACACGCGAAGCGAATGGCACAGTCCAGGACGCCGAGTAGCCATTGGTTTCTTCGGGACTACGCATAGTCAAGTTAGAAAGTGGAGCAGTATCAGCGTATATGCCAAGGGCAGCAAGGATGCTCGTCATATCGTTGTCATGGGTGAAGTCTGCATACAGTGTATGCTTTTCGTCAAGGGGAAACGTAACAGGATCAGAGTCTAATGTGGTGTTTGTGCTCGTATGGTCGTTCACAGGAGATTGTGTCATTCTGGCCAACAGCTCATTGACGAATCCGACGCCATTCGTGGCGCCGAAGTAGTTCCCGGGCCCAAAGCCGTACCACTTCCCCAGAGTCTCGTAGTAGTCATATTGCTGCCATTCACGCCGAGTAAAGAGATGGCAGATTGGCGAAATCGAGCCGACGGGGGATGCGACCGTTTCAAACGGGCACAGATCCATGAAGAAGATAACGTCTTCTTTTGTGAATTGAGCACCTGGTAGATCTTCTTGAAGACGCTTTTGTATTGGAGGTACAAAAACATCCATCCACTGGGACTGAGCATCTTTGCCAGTATCAGATGCAGGACCGTCCTCGAACGCCGTGCACAAACCATGACTCAAGGTATTGTTACTGCCGGGGGCTTCAGGAATGACGATTATTGGGTAGGGATAGTCATCATGTGCTCCGCTGTTGTCTGAATTCAGCGCCTGATGAAAGCCAAGAGTAAAGTTGGACGCCGAATCAACAACGCGCTGCTCACTTGCTGCGCGCACGAAAGGAGTCGTGCCCACTGCGAGATGCTTGTAACGCTCATAGAACTTGACACCACTATTCACCATCTGCTGCCGTCCAAGTTCCGTAAGAAGGTCAGCGCCGAGTGTGTATTTGTAGTCCACAAGGAAGGCGTACTTTCCGACGAAAGATGTGACGTTTGCGGTCAAATTTCCGACCAAATGAGAATAAATCGTTGTCTTGGAGGCCGTAGGATCGCGGGCTCCGTGTCGCGAGAGGACGTTGGCAAATGTGACCTTGCATTGGCATGGAATGTCGTCTGGAGCGGAGGAAGGTACGCTGAAGAAAGGTGAATACTGGCCCCACAGGTGACTGATTTCCGGGGAGCACTGGAAACCCTGCTGGACGTTATCGCAGCCTGAGAATAGCACAGTAGATGCTCTGCGATAATAGTCAGCGCTTGATAGGTCATTGCTACCCTGATCGGACAGCAAAGGGATCACCATGAGGGGAGACACACGCGCTCAACGCGGACGAGGCCATGGCGAGCAGGACACAAGCAGCAACGGCCATGGTAGCAAGAGAGCCAAGAGATCGTCTACGTGGCTCTTCAACGGACCCATCGTCGGCGGCAAGTCTCTCATATTTGTGGGAAGACGACAGCAGAAAGCTCATCGCGGCGGATTTCAGCCCATAGCGATGTTGTGACCCGGGGCATGCAAATTACGCTCAACGAGGAAGTGCATCGCCAAGTCCATCAAGGCGAATAGGCGATTCAGAAGATTTCTCGTGGATTCTTGTTCTGCCAGCAGAAGAAGGAGAATGTGCATGGGTTCATATTTAACCTACACGTGTGGCTTCTGTCGAGGTCGATTGGCGAGGTTATCGGGTTGGTCGTTGCGGCGAGCACGGGACGAGCCGCAATGTCCTTTTCCTCGTTGCGAGGACCGGAAGCCGACGTTTCCAATAGAGATTTATTTGTTAATATTAATATTAATATTAATATTATTATTTATTTTGTTCAGGACCTTGTATATATTGCAAAGCAGCCGTAAGACAGCGCTGTTCTCATTAGATTTGTTGTAGAGGCTTACGTGTGTGGTACAACTTCTGATTCCAGCACGCAGTGCTCCGATGTTAAAGGAGCTGGTCAACTTTCTTCGAGTGTTTCTGTTCCACAGTGAAACAAAATGTTTGAGCAGAAGCGCATACAGGCTTCCGTTGAGAGGGTCAAGCTCAGAGCTCAGGAAAGGTCTTCGAATAAGCGCTCGTTCTGCTCTGAGAGAAGACTCTGCCAGAGACGACTCGACTTTATCTTCGGATATTTAGAAAACAACGTAAATACCGAACCAGACATTGGGATTAAAAAAAAAAGACTACATCAGCGTAAACCCCAACGCAAGAACCATTCGTCATAACTGAAAAGACCTGATAGCCAAAGTCTACTTAGGTTGTACGAGAGACCAAGGCAGCAGAGCATCAAATCGGAGAATGGGAAAAGCAGTAGAAATTCAGACTGACACGACCGCGAGTTTTGATAAAGACAATGTGTCGAGATTTGGAATCATTGGAGAAATGAAATGAACTTCGAGCACACTTTGCAACATGCAATGCAAACGATAGTGTTTGAAGACTATCTAGGGCACATTTCCGGTTCATTCGTTTCGTGGTGTACAGAAGAAGGCATACCACTAGATAATGCCATGTGCATAATAATATGGCCGGAATATCCATCTTTGATTTCGTTCTTTCTTAACCAGTCCGCGCAAGGTTTTCCGGGGATTCGGAAGCCATATGTTGAGCAGATCAAGAGCCTTGTGACCATGGGCAGACAATCCATCGCTGATAAGATCAAGCAGTGACGTGCAGCAAGATTGCAGAATTCCCCGGTGAGACCAGAGGCGCTATGGCACCACCTCGTCGTAGAATACACGAGGCAGGAAAATCAACCCTGACGGCTCGAAGAGTGCGTTAGCTCTCCAACTCTCTGTCTTGAGCTTCTACCCAATCAAGCAGCTTCTTCGAGTCTGCTATGAGGCCGCAGATGGCGATGACGTGGAATTGGTTGTCTTTGATGGAGGACCAGCCTTTGGAGGAGGCGCAACTGCGCCACTAGGTTTGGGCGAAGACGTCGGATAGTCAACTTCGCGGGATTGCTTTTCTTGCTCCTGAAGGTAATCATCAAGACCACTTACGGCAGCAGCTGCGTGGTGCGCTCTGGGTTTGCGTTTGGTCGTGCCAGGCTGCGGTCCAGGCGAACTAGCTTTTGGCGGTGCTCCAGGAAGTGCCAAGTTGGCTGGGATCAGAAGATCTGCTGGGGATGAAACATCAGGCTGCACATTCTCCCCAATGGACATTCCTCGTTTCTCGTCGAAGCTGTTCGAAGCGGCAAACATGGTTTCCCCAGGAGCCGACGGAGGCTCCTCCAGAGATGCTGGGAGGCGATGAAGTGCACCATATCCCAAGGTGCAACCTAAAGCACCTTGACCGCCCCAGCTGTGAGATGGAATGATCTCAATGGGCCGAGTGACGTCGTATTCGTGGTTATAAACGAGCAGATTGATCGGCCTGTCCAAGTTCTTTGCTTGTTTAAGTAAGTCGCGTCAATGATCACCGGCATTGCATTGATGCATACCTCTTCTACCCACTGGCCAAGTCCACTTTCGCCGTGAATGATCATGTCCGGACTCCCGATCACGTAATCTCCATAAGGCAGGAGGCCAGCTAGATCTGCAGGCGAGTTTGGTGCGACCTCAAGAACATGCCACACATCTTCCGTGACTGACATCGGCATCCACTGAAGGCTCACCCCGAGCAGCGGATTTTCATGAGGAACACTTACGTATATTTCTCGAATACGTTGGCCCTTTGCACTCCAGACGCCTAGGCTTACGCTGGAGCCCGCGCAGTTGCGTATCTCTGTGATGAACAGATTTGGATCCGGGTTTTCCTTTTACACTCGTTGTCAGCATATTCGTTCCATCCGTCACTCAGAGCAGTCGTAGCCCACAATATTCCGGCCGTTAAGCCCGATTATGAAGTCGAACCACGGCTCCAGAGGCAGCTCAGCTTTCTTGTTTCGCAACACCTGGAATCCTGACGCAGTCCCTGTTCCCGGGCTTTGCTCCTTCGGCTCTTCGCCAAGCCGAGAGATGAACTGATTCAATCTGCTGAACATGATGGGGATCTCTCGCTTTCACGTAGTCTGGTAGTTACGTGCCATTGATCTTAACAACAAGACCGTATTACCACTTTAGGTCTAATGACGCTTTGACCAGTTTTGTGGCTCACTGCAAAACTCAATCTCTTGTTCTGCCCGTGCCTGGTGCCACCCGTGCGAGCTTGATGGCCGTGGCTTAAGCGCATAGCTGTTTTTCCAGAGTTGCCTCATGTCAAGCGCGAAGTCGAGAGAAGTCGTAGAACGGCCAGGCATTTAGAGCTGATGCGATGGTGAAGACGGCGGAGGCTTCAATGGCCGGCGTGAGCGCATATCTTGGCGCGCTCAACGAGGCAAATGGCAAGGTCGAGGAAGGAATATACTGCTACAAGCATGCATCGGAAGTGCCCGAGGACATCCAGAAGTCAGCCAAGCTCCGTCCTGGTTGATGTTTGATTCTGAGATCGAGACAGATATTGGCACCAACGGCATCGGATATTCTCCAAATATGACGAAGGAATCTGGATGACCAACAACGACTGGTTTGGCGTGACGCCAGAGCCCGTCGCCATGCATGTCTGCTCTTTCGTCCGTCCATATGCGTCGCTAATGAGATAGCTTGCAGGAAAATAGCTGAACATCTTGCTCAGATGGCTTCTCCAGAGAAGACAATCATCATTGACGCGTTCGGCGGTGCCGGCGGCAACAGTATAGCCTTTGCTCTGTCCAAACGGTGGAAACAGGTTTTCTATATCGAAAAGAACCCGCTGACACTGAAATGTGCACGCCATAACGCCGAGGTATACGGAGTCAAGAACAAGATCGTCTTCATACAGGGCGACTGCTTCGAACAGCTTACACTGCGATTTCAAGGCAGGCGTCGAGAAGCAGTACTATTTGCGAGTCCCCCATGGGGCGGGCCAACCTATAAGGGCGACGAGATCTTCGACGCGGAGAGAATGGAGCCGTATTCGCTAAGAAAGTTATATGACGCTTTCACGAAGATCTCGCCAGACTTGGTGTTATATTTGCCGCGATCAACCAACCTTAACCAGGTCGCGAAGTACGCCAACGAAGAAGATCAAAAGACTCAGGTCATCCATTACTGCGTAGATGGCGCCAGCAAGGCAAGTTTACTGTTCTCCGTCGTCGAACAAGGTCAGCTGACGAGAAAAGGCGCTTTGCGTGTACTACGGAAACTTTTTGCGACTACCCTGAGCCTAGATCTCACAGCATGCCAGTTCAAATCCCATTCTTCCGCAGGACTACTGCGTCCAGTTGTTTCTTGTATCACCCTGTGCCAGGTTGAGCTTCAATTGCGTGTGTTTTCCCCAGAAACAAAAGTGTTCGATTTGTGATGCCTGAACTCGATGTTGTTGCCTGAGGCGCCATAGGCCCCCAACATGTACCGCGAGTTCAAGCCATTAAGCTCTCGCATCTCGCCTCTGTATGTAGAAACACCTAAATGGTCTGCACCAGAATATCTTTCGGCACATCCAATCGTCAGAATGTGCTGATGAATGAAGTGATCTGTTCATAAGCAGCGGTTTTCTATGCGACGACACAGCACATGCGTCACATCGCAGCGACGACGCAAGCGCTGCGTTCGCGCATGTCCACGCTGACCATCAACGTCCTTGCATAACCAGTTGTCCTTTGCCATTTTCTAGATGGAAAATTTCCCATCAGTCAGCCCGTCACAAACGAAGCCGAAGGACGCCTTTCACGCTGACGACCCAAATCCAAAGATGCCGCACGCCGTTTCCGAAGACGACAATGACGAAGGGAAGCGGCTGAGCGATGCCGACGACGAAATCATCGCACAGCTGCTGGCCGGTTCGGGCCAGGCCAATGACGCTCTTGCTGGATTGAATGACGACTTTGAAAATGAACCTGGAGAGAAGGCAGACGATGCACTGGACTATGGAGACATTTCAGACGACGATCTGCCCGATGAGGAGGATGCTGCTCCTTCGTTGTCCAACGGGCATGCTAGCCACGCGCTGGAAAACGAGGGCAGCGGGGACTTTCTCGACGACGGAGACCTGTTTGGAGATCCAGACATGGAAAAAGATCTCTTCGGTGGAGATGGAGACATGGAAATTACAGACCCCGCGAAGCCCGACCATCAGATCAACGGAGACTCCGCACAAGATACGCAAAAGATGGAAACTTTTGAAGATGACCTCTTTGGAGAAGCTGAAGATCTCCCGTCAGAAGAACCGGCCACTGCCAAATCTGTCGCCCCAGATTCAGATGACGATGAGGACATGGATCCTGCGGCACGCGAACAAGCTCGGTTGTTCAAGGAGTCCAGGGAACGCGAAGATAGGCTGAGAAGAGGTGGTCTAGACCCAAGTGCCATCGTTGTGCCAGTGTCTGCGTCACATCAAGACACCATCGACGCCTATTTTCCGGACTACAACAAGGAAGAGATGCCCGACTTCTCCAAGTTATTTTTCCGCCGTCGGGCCCATTATCTCAGAAAAGCTCCCCTCAAGCAGCCCGCTAAAGTTCAGCCCACGCGCGCTAATATTGAAATAGAAGCGGATCAAGAGCGTTCATTTAAGCTCAGCAATGGCTCGCAAACCCGCAAGCGTATTAACGAGGAGGCAACTGATGACGGTTTACTTTTCATACATTACAATGATCGGGCAGATCGACTCAACGATCACCAAATCGAGATGGTTCCGCTTGAAGATGACGAGAAGATCGGCGGGGTGTCGGTGCAAGACTTAAGAGTTCTGTGTGAAGACTGGGATAGCCTGAGCGTCAAAGAAGTCGATTCGGATCACGAGCTGACTTCGACCGTGGACATCTTTATGGGCAATGGGATCACGGAACCTCCAATGAAGAAGCGAAGAACTTCCCTCGACGGCTTGTTCGAGTCGATAAACCGCGACGAGTTTCCAGTCCTCGATGACCCAGAGGAACTGACTGCGAAACTTGCAAAGCAGGTGCCGTTGGACCTTAACGATTCGCGGCTCCTCTTAGACTTTGCACAGCCTTCGATACATCGTTTGACCACCCAATCCTCTTTCGGTCGTCGGCGCGAAGCTGGAGGTGTATCGAGTGCTATTCATAAGAAGTTCAATTTCTCCAACGACGAGGAGTATGAGCGTCTGATCAAGGAGAATTCGATACGCGGAGCTGTTGGCAACATACCAATTGAACACAGTGGGCCCGCTCGACGTTTACAATACCCCTTTTACAAAACACAAATGAGTCTTCGCGAGCAGCGGAATTTCCATCGTCCTAGCTTGCATTTCCCTCCCAACAGCAGGATCATCGTGGATCGACGGTTGGAGCACCGTAAGGTCAAAGATATGCGGAAGCAGACGATACAGCAGACCTTTGCCGAGTCCAAAGACCTCACCTTTGCCGACAACAGTTCGATGCTTCTTCTAGAGTACTCCGAAGAAATGCCGCTTATGATGTCGAATTTTGGCATGAACAGCCGCATCATCAATTATTACAGGAGGAAGGATGAGAACGACAAGTTCAGACCAAAGGAAGACATCGGTGAGCCGAGAGTGTTGCAAGAAAAGGACCAGAGTCCCTTCGTGAAGTTTGGCTTTGTGGATCCTGGCCAGACTGTGCCGACCGTACACAACAATCTGTATCGCGCACCCATCTTTAGACATGAGCCAAGGCAGACCGATTTCTTGGTCGTGCGTCGGCAAACAGGTGTCTATGGCACTAACTATCATCTTCGCAACATCGAGAACCTACACGTCGTTGGCCAACAGTTTCCCTTCGCAGAAGTTCCTGGTACGCATGGACGAAAAGTCACTTCAACACAGAAGGCTCGCATGAAGATGATTGCGTTTCGCATCTACGCAAAGAAGCTCAAAACACGTAGTCGACAACCGTACGTGCCTCATTCTGTCATCACGATGCATTTTCCCGGTAGTGATGTGGCTCAGAACCGCTCCAAGATGCGTGAACTCATGCAATACAACAAAGACCACGGCACCTGGGAACCCAAGCCTGGAGATGAGAAGTTCTTGGACATGGACTATTTGCGCAACGAAATCAAACCTGAGGACATTTGCTTGATCGACTCGATGCAAATAGGGGCTCGTCAAATGCAGGATGCAGGTTTTGATATCAAACAGATCGAAAACGATAAAGATGACGCGGGAGAGAATCTGTCCTTAGATGCACAGCTTGTACATTGGCGGGCAACGAAGAATTTTCTTGCCGCCTGTGGTGACAATGCCATGATTGCATTACACGGCGAGGGTGACCCTACTGGTAGAGGCGAAGCTTTCAGTTTTGTCAAAATCAGTATGAAAGGTGGGTTCCAAGCACTGGGCGCCAGCGCGAATGACAAAGTCAAGTCCGCGCAAAAGGCTGACCAGAGTGGCCACAAATACAACGTGCGTGACCAAGAAGATGCGTATCATGCCGCGATTCGGCATATCTGGGATGCTCAGACACGCTCGCTGAGCATGACCGAGGCACCGGATCTTGACGTAGAAATGGACGACAATATCGACGCGCGCATCGAGCGGAACAACACAGCTGCTACGTACGGCCGCACACCACGTTCTGAGGCGCCTGGGACACCAGGATACTTTCCTCGTGCGTCTGATATTGATGACTCAGTGTCTCACATCTCCGGTTCCCGGGTTTCTGCTTCTGATCGACAGCTCTTCGGAGCTTCCGAACGTGTGCTCAAAGTCACACGGCGCCGTCGCGATCAGTACGGTGAATGGATCACGGAGACACAAATCATCGACGATCCTGTGGTTGCACGCCAGTACAAAAAGAAACACGACATCAAACACAAGGAGAAACTCGAGCAGCAGATACGAGAAGGTGGTGCCGGCGGGAGCAGTGGTGCTGGCGGTCTGACAGCCGAGGAAAGGAAAGCAGCTGAAGAGGAATTGGCACGACTGCAGAGAAACATGGATCGCAGGAAAGTACGCGAAGCTCAAAAGGCTGCTAAGGCCGCCATTAAAGAAGGCAATATCAGTTTGGATGGAGAGAACAAGGTGCTTCCGGGACAGACGCAAAGGAAATGTGCAAATTGCGGGCAGTATGGCCACATCAAGACCAACAAAAAGTGAGTGTCTCCCAAGCGCAGGGAACAGGGAAGACGTACTAACGATACATCGTCCAGATTATGTCCTATGCTCAATGGCACGTGGCCTGACGGCGTTCCACCAGGCGCTGATGGAGGCATGGGCATTGGTACACCCGCAACACCTGCTGCTGGTTCGGAAGCGCCAACTCCTGGGGCTGAAAGACCCATTCCGAGGATGAGCACCAGTTTCCAATTTTGAATTGCGGTGCATTGCAAAAGGCGTGGGCATCATGTACTGGACTGTGTAGGCTTTACTACAGTGTGCCCGAGGGGCATGTTTTGAATTTGCAAAATTACATCTTTACCAGCTACAGCAAGCGTGGGCAAATATGGCGGCTAGACGATCGGGCGCCTAGCCTTTGAACGGGAGGAGAATACTGTTGTGCGCTTGTCGCGGCTTTATAGATATGATATACCCGTTTCCTTCGTAGCATCAGCGCACGTTCTATGTCATACGATTCTATGTTGCAAGCAGCGTTGGGGTCCGAGATGGTCGCTTGAATTTGATATCAAGAGTGTACTGTGCTTATGCCGTAACGACATTACTGCTTGGTCGAGTAGTAGAAGGAGACATGACGGCATGAGGTCGGTGGAAAGGGTCTTGTAGATTGTGTGCAGTCCTTGACACCGAAGCCTCGAGGCAGGGACATGTTTGTAGATGGCGTTCCCCACACGTTCGACCGGCTTGAGAATGACGTCGCCAATGATCAAGCTGGGCCTAAGCACGTACAGGAAAGGTGGAGGTCTGCGAGACTGGAACAGTCTAGTTGAACGTGCTCAGCTTCAAGTCGGCTCGACTCACCTGACTGGCCGAGTCTTGGTGGCGCTGAAGCCAAGTTCAGTTTAGCAGCAGCTCAAGGGAAACTCGCGTCCCGTCAACTGCTGGTCATCCCAGTGAACATGCTGCGATAACACCCGTCTTTTGCTCGCCGTCGTGATTTTCGCCCTTTTCTCGATCGCTCCGCCGCCCTTCGAGACCGTAGCCGCAACGGATATTGCATTGCATGGTGTCCAAGCTTCGCCCGGCATCCTGACAGCGGTCAGAAGAGCTAGACTTGAACCACCCCGCAAGGAAGACTCGGCTTCGTGTGGAGGACCAGTGGCCCTCTCGACCCCCGTTTCCTTGCTTTGGACTTGAAAGACCTTGGACTCGAAAAAGAAATACGGGATGGCTGATCACGACCATGGACATTCTCCACGCGACCGCACGTCGTCGTCGGGGAGCAGCAATGCCGCGTTTCCAATGCTTCAAACGGCGCCCAGCGGAGGCCATTCGAAATCGCCGCCCATGAAGCTTCCCACTACCCCGTCTACGAGCCACCGCAGTAGCTTAGCGGAGAATCTGCGCGGGCATCCCACCAGCCCCAGGCAGGCCCATCGCTCTCCTAGCCTGTCGCAGCAGGCGTTCATGGAACTCATCAATAACCCCCCGACGAAACATACACACGAGGGCGAGGAGAGCAAGTACGCGGGAAGAGATTGGAAGACGATACGGGTGGGAGAGGTGGTTGATCTAGAGCTTGTGCGCTTTGCAGAAATGGATACCAGCGTCGAAGAGGCCACCAATGTGAGTTAGGTACCGCAAGCAGACCGACAGCAGGTGCTTCAGCCGGCTAACAATTTCCCTTCTGTTAAGATTTTGATTACAAGCGGGAGTCCGAACGTGGTCCTGCTGAGAGACAGCAAGACTTCGAGAAAACCGATCGGCACATTTGATTACAATGATCTTAACGCGTATCTTCTTCTCGTCGTGGGCCTGGCACAACCTGAGGATAGACAGTCCTTCAAAGAGCTGGCGCAGAAGGGACGGGAAGGGAAGCCCATTCCTCTACGCGACGTCAAGGATCTCAGCAAGAAAGAGCCCTTGTTCACTTTGCCTCACTCGGCCGACCTGACAAAGGCAATTGAGATCTTGGGCAGCGGCATCCATCGCATCGTCATTGTAGACGAGAAAACTGGAGATGCCGTCGGCGTCTTGACGCAGCTACGGATGGTCGAGTTTTTCTGGGACAATGAGAAGCATTTCAAGCCGCTGCAAGAGCTCTATCAGGCCACACTAAAAGATTTGAACATCGGCGCATACAGTGTTTTCGCCATTAAGTATGCCGATTGCTGTCTGGGTTACGACTGTGACTAATTAGCGACGACAGCGGTGACAAGCCTCTAACGGACGCACTCGAGCTCATGAACAATGAGGGTATAACCTCATTACCAGTCCTCGACAACCAGAATAACGTCATCGGCAATATTTCTCATGTTGACGTTAGGGTACGTTCTTGTTCCCCCACGTCTTGCATAGTTGGGTCTTGCTAAGTTCGATTACAGCTACTCACAAAGAACACGGCCCTTCCCTTGCTTCGCTCTTCGTGTATACACTTCATCTCTGTCATCCTTTCGGAGCGTGGTGTGTTTGACGGCAAGGACTCATACCCAGTATTCCATGTAACACCTTTGTCGACACTGGCACATACAGTTGCCAAGCTCGTGGCTACCAGATCACATCGGTACGACTGCTCTTGTTCACATCGGCTGAAACAAAGAAGACATTGCTGATAGAGATTCCGTAGCATGTGGATCGTCCAGCCTCCATCTCCTGCATCCTCCGCCTCCGCCACGCCTTCGATGACTCCTCTTGCTACAACAGCGCCTTCAAGTGCCCTCTCATCTTCCCCATCGTCCTCCACCGTCCTCCCTCCGCTGACTCCCTCGCATGCCGGGCCGCCATACACTACACATCCGGTTTCGTCAACCTCGGCTGTAACTGCCAGCGCGATCCCCGGGGCAACGCTCTCCGGCCGCTTATCTGGTGTGGTATCACTAACAGATGTCTTGAATTTGTTTGCCAAGGCATCAGGCCTGAATCCGCACGACCCGGGCGAGGTTAGGCAGATGAGAAGACGAAGCTCAAGCGCGAGTGCGACCCGAAGAAGCATTGAGAGCTCAAGAAGCGAAAGCGTCGGGGCAGGAAGCAGTATTGCAGGGAGCAGGAGGGGCAGCGTCAGCGGTAATAGAAGAGCTCCTGTGTAGCAACTCGCGCACATTGTCGCTGGGCCATTTTCGGAGTTTTCATAGATCGAAAAGCCACTTTGCAGCTTAGGGTTTCCAAGTTGCAGATCTGCTTTCTAGGCGAGAAAGAATTGAAGGGTTACGCACCGGCGTTTGATTGGTAAATGGTTTAAAGATTTCTGGCCACTTCATCAGCGGACTGTGGCTCCGACGCTGCTCTCTCATTTTTTCCCTAATTTGAGCGTTTAGTTTGTGATGGTCTAGAGGTACGAATTATGCAAAAAGAAATATAAATATATATGTGTATGTATGTATCAAAGCAGCTCGCCTGTTACCTTCCCATCAGCACCAGATTCGGACCATGTTTGTGTCAATCACGTAGCAGCACGTCAGCTGGGAGCAGCAATAGTAGCTTCCGCCTAAATTCTCTGCGCAAGGATAACATACCACTCCTTCGCTCGCGTACCTTATCTGCACGCGAATGGCTTCCAGCTGATAGTAAGATCTAGCAGAATGATATGTTGACGTCAAGGATCTTCGAAAGCCGGTTTGCCAACAATCATGGATGCGCGCCAGGTCTTATTGACCTCAAATCTGAGATTACGACTTGATTGAAATGCTTCTGGAAAGTTTGATATTGATTCTTCCTGCCGTTTTAGCCAGGATGCTCTGGCAAAGGTGCTGAGGGGTGTTGGACTGCTTCATGTCTAATTTTTGTTTTTGAATTTATTTCTAATTTTTTTTTTTTTTTAATTTCTCATGACTTCCTAACTTCAGACTCGAACAATCTGTCTTCTAACTCTCCAACACCAGCAAGACTAGGCTTAAACGACTCGTGCTCGTATCTTTGTGCGTCAAATTCAACTTTGATGATTCCTACCTCAATCTGAAGAAAAATCAAACAGAATGGGTTTTGGCTCTTTTCACTGTCTAAATTTTGAAAACACCGATGATTTTGACAAAGATGCAAGCTGACGAGGGGTCTTTCTGCTTTCTTTCTGTGGTACGGCTACCCCTATGATTCGCCAATGTGCCAATTGAACCTAACTGTCTTATGGGAAAGACGAACTCGCACCCTCCATACTCGAGCCAACGTGTTCATGGTGTAAATGTCGGTGGAAACTTTCCTCAAGTATCTTGTATACTTTAGTTCAGCCTTTCAACATAGTAGGATTATCTGGACTCTGCACAAGACCATTAGGGGTCAATTCCATAAGCGTGAGCTCTTCTGAGACGCCATAGCCAGTTCCCTCGAGGTATACAGCTTCTGGAGTCTGATTTCTTCCTTGCAAAAAATGAAAGACTAAGTTTTGAGTATGATTTGATGCAAGGAAGCTGTGAGAATATCTTAAGACTAAAGGTAGCTCTTGTATACCCGACGGTCTTGACACGATTCGATCAATGGTAGCGTGAAGCATGTACCAGAGGAGTATCTACGATATACGAACCCTGAACTTGAATCGTTTGGTTCTAGATACTCTATGACGTCTGCAAAGGCCATCATGCCAGTTAGCCGTCATCATGGGAAGTTCTGGGCTTCTGGAGGATTTATGTCCCCTGGCGTCAGATTCTAGGTTCATGTGCAACTTCATCTGCCTTTCCATCGGACCTGGAACGATGTGGCGGGAGGTTTGGGGGTTTCAGCTCTCGAAATTTATCGTGACCATGTGACTGCGCCAGTTTCATCATTGTGGGCCATAAATGGATGATAATGTAAGATAAATCAGTACACAGAAGTGGTATGTCATGGTAGTATAGTGATGTCGATTTAGCAGTAAGAGAATCAAGTCGAAATCCTATCTTGAAGTGGTATGTGTGCAGTCTTGGCACGGAGATTGTTGACACGAAAGAGACTTTACATAGATATAAGTTGCACCATGCAACTTCACTATCAACAAGTTCAGAATCCGATATGGTCTAGTGGCTAGGATCACCCGCTCTCATAGCAGAGCACGTGCCGGGTAGGCCCGGGTTCGATTCCCGGTATCGGAATTATCTTTTTTTGTCTTTTTTTCGACTTCTAAACTTTTCATACCATTCTCCATACTCTCACTTTATTTTTGAATTCTCCTTGCGACAATATGGCAATCCGATATGGTCTAGTGGCTAGGATCACCCGCTCTCATAACAGAGCACGTGCCGGGTAGGCCCGGGTTCGATTCCCGGTATCGGAATACTTTTTTTGTCTTTATTTTCATTTTTCTTCTTTTCTCTTTAACCTCTGCTCGGTTTTTTTAATGGATTTTCTTCATTGGCACTCGTGACATTAAAGAAATAACTTATAGCTAGACGGATTTATTCATAGGATATAGCATCTGTACTCACTTTTTTCTTACACGCAAGTGCAACAGTTGTCACAGCCACCATCATGGCGACACCTACACTTCTGCCTTCAGACATTGCTTCGTCTAGACCTGTTCTCCAAGATGATGCAGTGACAATTCCAGCCCCGACGCATGCGGAGTTCATTGCGCACTTTGGAGACGCATTCCCAGCGCCGGTCTATTTACAATCTGAGTATGGGCAGACCGCGGTGTACGTCTTATCACCAGTGGATAAATCCTACCGTAGCCACTCACGCTGTCCAATCTTGCTGGTTCACGGCCTCAACACACCGGCTTTGGGCATGCTCCCTCTTGCCCACAGGATACAGTCCTTTGACCCCACTGCTGAAATTGTCCTCTTTGATCTGTGGGGCCACGGGCTATCCTCGACACCGCTCAGCCCTCATACGCCTTTCCTCTTTCACTTTCAGATATTGCAAGTGCTGAGCTATATGAACTGGACATCCGCGCATATTGTAGGCTACTCCTTCGGCGGTTCGACTGTGGCAAGCTTTGCCTCCGTTGCTCCTTGGGCCCTGCTTTCCGTAACACTTCTAGCTCCGGTAGGCTTACTTAGCAAGGAGTCATTCAACACTGAGCTACAAGATCTATTAGAGCAGCCCGCCGGGAGGGAGAACCAATTGATGGAAGCTGTGCTCTCTTGGCTTGAAGGCGGTCCGCTGGTCGTGCCCGACGACTGGTGGCACAGAACGCGGCAGGGCGAAGTTGTGCCTGAGGCATTCAGAGGGTGGGAGCTGCGCCAACACCGCGGATATACATACAGTGTATTGAGCATGTTCCAGTACGGCGGTTTGACTGGGCGGGAGGAGACGTTTCGCAAGCTTGCGAATCTGCCGGTGAAGAAGATGGTGATACTGGCAGAGTTGGATCAGGTATGTAGCAAAGAGCTGCTGGATTCGGTTGGCATCCTTGACGTCGTCGTTCTCGCTCATGCCGATCATGGGTTTGTTCGCAGTAAAGCGGAGGAAATCGCGAGCATCCTGAACAAATTCTGGCTGGCTAAGCATACTCTGGGCGAGAATCTACAGTGCTAGAATGATTGCGAACTTGGACAAATTCCATTAGCTTTGAAGCTGCGATTTCAGTAGTTCAGAAATGTTTTTTTCCTCACGAGCACATATACCTGTTCCTATTATTTCTGCGGCTGCAACTGGCAAGTGCCGAACAGCTTTGCGACATGTGGTTTGGCAGTAAGTCAACGTATTTCAGAGACGTGAAAAGGTGTGAGCTAGCTCCCGGTCCGAACGCGGTCCTGTTAGGCGATAGCTTTTCCCTCGTGGAGAACCTCTAGAAAGAAGCACGAACATCAGTTCTTGCAGAATTAAAGAAATGCCATGTTCAGCTTCATTGCATCCCCGGGCGACTTCGCTTGCACGTGCTGTTCTTCAAGTCCAACTTGACAGACGAAGGGAACGTGCACATCCTTCACGTCGATCATTCAAGATTTGCAAGTATAATTTACACGACGAATCAGCGTCAGAGAACAGGAAGCAGGCTTTAAATTTCCAGCCTATTCAGGACATCAAACGCGTCAGCGAGTCAGTTCATTGTCCCTGAGTTCTGTGCTGGGACCTTGGGCCAAAATATAAGGTCGTTTCTGGGGGCGGGATGTCGTGTTTTTGAGATCTCGCAAGCACGTTTGCCAAGCTTACAGATATGAGAGCCCTGCTTCTATTGATACTTACGTTCGCCATATGGTACGATCGCTTTCCTTGCACTTTTGAAGACTATTCTGACTAACTGTGATAAAGTCGTGCGCAAGAACTCGGCGCTGTTCTTGTCCCTATCTTAACCGCGGCGGCAGAGCCGATGCTGGCGAAGAGGCTTGATACTTCACCTCAAGCAACAGCAAGCAGCGTCGTTGATCCAGTCACTCCTACTGCCTCGGCGCTTGAGACTTCATCGCCAACTGCAGTGGTAGCGACCATTATCGCAACCGAGCCTTCCATATCGCTGCTTGGAACGTCCTGCGCCCTGCTGGACATTGGCTGCGTAACATCGGCTCTTATAGGTGCTTCAACAAGGATTCAGCAGACCTCTGTCCAAGAAACAAGCGCGCCGACAACGACCAGCAGCTCCAGTACTGGCGGTCATCAGGCCGTACGATGGACTGGTGGGCTCATCACCGGCTGGCTGGTAGCCACAATCTGGCTCCAAACAATCCTTTGATCATCTGATCCTGTACGTTAAGCTTGGAGGGGCTTCAGGTGAAATTCAGAGATTTCGAGAGAGTTATGGCTCTTTGCGAATTAATGCTAGGGTTTCACATGAAATGTTTCGCTTCGCCATTTTCATCTTCTCAAGCGGTGTTCCGAAGGAGTGCGGTAGAGACGACCTGTGGCAGTACAAATGTATGGGGAGTGGGAGTTGCGTAGATCTCAGCATGCGCAGCGTATCTCTCTGAATCTGTCCCCAACCCTAGCCGAAGCGCTCGCAACGAAGACGTGACTTGAGGCTTCGCGACAAAAGCTTCCGTGGAAAGCAGGAGAAATCTCTTACGCGACCGGAGTGCATATTGTTGTCCATCCTCATGGCTCGTCGTGCCTGCAAGACATCAAAACGGCATATAGTCTTCGTGAGCTATATGTATGATTTGGTCCCAAGAACAGGTCACTGCCTTTGCTCATGAAGGCGTAGGAGCAAAAACTGCGGAACTAGACATTGCTTGGAGGAAAGATAAATTGTTGGCGAGTCTATGTCGCAATGTAGATAATCCTAATATATCCGACTCCAGGTTCTGCTACTCATCATATCTCTGCCTCACAATGCTTGGCCAAAGGAAAGGAATCAGAATTGCGGAATGTAGTGGTGGCTTCACCGATCGCCAAGGCTTCTTCCTGAGCATGGCAAGGTGCGATGTCGACGCTATCAATAAGCAACCCAAATCGCTCAACAGGCTGGCTTTTGATTTTATGCTTCCTCAAGATTGGCGACCGGATGTGCGAATGCACAATGGGTTGGCATGGCGCTATCAAGGCTGAAGCTGTAAGGAATAGCACAAATATTGCTCAGCATGTTGCTCTATTTGATTCCCAGCTTCATGGACGCTTTCACCCTTGCCTTGCCGACTATAGAGCAAAAGGAATCAAAGTGTCTGTTAATTTTGGTGTTAGAGACACAGAAATGCTGGCTAAGCTTTTCCACAGAACTTGCCGAGAGAGAGGAAATGGTCTGCATTAGGCCTATATATCAGATCTGAGAGAATGGACATCAGACAGAATTCTTGCTAAACTCGTTTCAAACAGCTAACTTTGCAACAAACCGTTCATGCTACTGTACTTTATATCTATTTTTCTGTCGCCAAATCCTTTTGATAATGTAACGACTACGAAGGGAAAAGACATAAGTTCTAGCTGCTACCGATGACCATGCGATCCCAGGATGGACGAGGATACAGCAAAGGAATTATGACTGCGGCCTCTGCATGGCAGTTTATTGAAACGGAACGGAATCTGCGCTGAAAACTACGGGTGAACCGGCCGATTGCGTCGCCTCAAGTCCGGCAAGTGGAACGTGGTCAGCTTACCACTTGTCTAAGGTCAGCTCACCGCTTGTTTAAGGTCCGCCGACCTACACCCTCCATTCATAGCTTTGAATACGCATTTTACTCATTCACTGTGCGATCGTGAAAATACACACAGTGATGGGCATCTGTCTGTCCCTTTCTCGCACTGGGAGCCCATCCGGAGGTGGAAGGTTTGGTGGAAGAATCAGGGAAGATGACTAGCGATCTCGGCATTCGTGCTAGCTTTACAAACGAGGACCTCCCAGAACCCCATCCCGCTCAAACATTGGATCTTGTGCATATTGATATTCAACTAAAGCTACTTTAGAGATGGCATTCAACGGACGGCCAAGGGGCATTGAATGTTATTATCCGACTGCTAAAGGAATTAGACAAAGTGTCCTCCGTTGGCACTTGAGCTAATATTGACGCTGTTTAGCCGATAGGGCGAGCCTAAACTTGTACAACCACATGAAAACTACCCATTACGTACAACCAGCCCCAGGCGATCTGATCGCAGCTCCAGCTTCGCGGGCTCTTATTGCATCGCATTTGGTAGGCCATAGCGGTCTGCCGTCTATCTACAATGGGTTCTTGTACGCTCCGTACTTCTGATTCTCTTCGAAACATGCGGTCAGAACCGGTGTGGTCATGATCACCTGGCATTTTACCGCGATTTACCGCCGCACTGTCTTCTTGTGTTTTAGGTAAGGCTCTTCTTCGTCGGCTCCTGGTCATGGGATAGAGAGTAGGAAAAGAGATATATCTCATCACTCGGAGAGACGCGGGAATTAGAAACCGATCGGCTCTTGCCGTTATCATGCAGTTGACAGCTTCGCGCTGTGTACGGCCTTGCCGTACTATAGAGCTGGCGCCCTCGTAAAACCTATCTCTTAAGACTGAATCTGCTAAAAGTAGTCTTGTAGGTGAAGCGCTTAAGTTACCGTTATACATCTCTTTATTAGGTAGCTGCTGCGTAACTCGTCTGCTTAGCACAATGGTATCAACAGCTGACACCATGCACTCCCCCAGTCTCTTCTAGTGTACATGTTCCATTTGTAACCACTGGCGTGCTCTCGCTTAGGGAGACCGTAAAGTTCTTGAAGTCAACATTGTAGCACGGGTTGCGCTTCGAGCATGAGACAGACAGCGTCTGTGGCGTCTTCGCCGTAGTTGTGTTGAGCCAGCCTGTAAAATTGACAAAGGCGACATTCGACACCTAATGACAGCATCAGTACGAGAACCCAGAGGGGGGTAAGGATAAAGCAACGTACCAGCATGTTCGAGGTACCAGCAAAGCTGCCATTGTTCCCACTGTTCTGGCTGATAGCGGCAGCAATATTCGCACCTTCAATCCTGAAGTTGCTGAACAGCACGTTGGTAACGCTGCCCCAACCGCCGCCTCTCGGCAGACCACCACTCTCATAGCTACCCTGTCCCGTGCCCTGCGGTGCAAGCTCCCCTATCCAAGTCTTGATATAGGCACCATTGCCCATATCCTCGTTGTATCGCAAGATGTGTACATCGTCAATAACAACATTTGCCACCGAGCTGTCTTCGAGGTACTGCCCCAGCGATCCGATTGCCATACCGTTGCCACCGCGGCATGTGGCGTTGCGAATGTTGACGTTATAGCTACGAGGTTTGATTGCCACACAGTCATCACCGCCTTGGTAGACGAAGTTCTCGAGCCAGATGTTATTGACATCCATTGTGTCTAGAGCACCATGTCAGTATCTCCCAGTGCCCATTTTGCGCACAGGAGCTTACCAAATCCATCGGTGTTCTGAACCCAGTTCTTTCCCCACGGCGCCTTCGTTGCGGTCGCATTGCAGTATATCTCGTTGAAGGCCATATTTGTTCCATTCATAATGTTCAGTGACCACAGCTGTGGTTGCTTAACAAAGAATCGATTCACCGTCACATCGCTCACGTTCCAGAACACCAACGGCATCGGTCGCCCAGGCTGCGTGACTCCCTTGTCCGCACTGTACCATACATCACCGTTACCATCGATGCCGCCCGTACCATATCCGTCAATGTGGATGCCATCGCCTGTGAGAACAAAGCCCGCCCAATGGTTCTGAAACTCAATGTGGTACGAATTGTTGCCCCAAGCAGTGATGTTATCGGAGTACTGCCAGATACCACGCCACTCGATAACAACGTCATTAACAATCGGATTGAGCTTGGAGTTGATCCAGTACGTTTGCCCTTCAGGAAAGACGACGCGTCCGCCGTTGCCGCACTGTTCGAAGGCCTTGATGATCTGAGGCACATCGTCTTGCTTCTTGCCAAGAGCCTGTACAGTGCATGTTTTCCTGCTGTCGATCGAGGCTTGCGATGGCACTCGTGGCTTGATTACATTTCCATGGATGCAAGACACCAGAGTCACAATGCTGCTTAAGAAGGTAGCCCTCATGTTGTAAAGTGCCGTCCAAGCTTTTCCTCAGATCTGTCTAGGAGCGCTGTTTCTAATCCTTCGACCATCCCAAACCTCTTTGTACAGAATAAAATTGCGGTCTCCGCAGTAGAAATGCCCGATTGTTACCCCAATACGTCAATACAAATCTCCGCACCAATATAATGATCGCCATGGAAACTTGTTAATCAGGCACACAGTTTGGATAAGTCTGCAAGTGCACGCAGCTTCAAATTTTCCATCAATCAGAGCGAAAGGAGTTTACAGTTAAAATCAAGGTAGCATGCTGGAAATCTGAATAACATCTCCGATGCTATATCGAGGTTGGCAGACTAGACGGTCGATCTCTCGGGCCATATGTCGCCGAATGTACCGTTCGTGTGGGGTTAGTCCGTTCCCCGAGCGGGGTGACCCGGGGCTTGCGTTGGAGCGGCCAAAACAAAGGTACATACTCAGCCTTGCCCTTGGAAATGAACGAAGGTGTGATCTTTGATTGTTCACGTAGCCTCACAACATGTGGTGGGAACCTCTCATAGTGCTGTTTTCTGCAAGACTCGTCTGCGCGGGATCTTGTTGGCGCAGTACTCAATGCACTGGGCCCTCTCAAGCACCATTTCCTAGCGGTCCATGGGAAGATTACATATACTCTCCATCGAGCAGGACAGTATCGCCCTCCTCAGTAATAAGCTGGCCAGCTCTCACGTCATCAGTATACAACGGATCTGTCCACCTTCAAGGCAATGGCTCCCTCGTTACCCTCGACTTCGGGAAAGAAGTTGGCGGCATCGTCTCCTTCGACTACAGCAGCACCGGTATCAGCTCTAATGCTTACATTGGTCTCGCCTTCTCCGAGTCTAAAAAGTTCATCGGTGAATGGTCCGACTCGTCCAATGGCAGATTTGTCGGTCCAGACGGCGCAATCTATGCTTCATGTGGAGCAGCAGCGGAGTGCAGCAGCGGATCCTACATCATGCCCGACAAGTACTTACGTGGCGGCTTCCGCTACCTCACGCTCTTCCTTGTGACTAATAACACCGCGGAAACACTCCCAATGACCATTAACAACCTGAAGCTGGAAATTGGATTCGCGCCCACATGGTCAAATCTGCGCGCTTATCAAGGCTACTTCTACTGCAGCGATGACTTGCTAAACAAGATCTGGTACTCTGGTGCGTATACCCTGCAAACCAATGCAGTGCCCACCAACACAGGGCGCCAAGTTCCCATGCTCTCCTCCGGCTGGGCCAACAATGCCACGTTGTCCAATGGCTCGACAGTAATCGTTGACGGCGCGAAGCGTGATCGTGCAGTCTGGCCGGGTGATATGGGCGTTGCCGTCCCTTCCAGCTTCGTCTCGCTTGGCGACCTCGACAGCGTGCGGAACGCGCTTCAGGTCATGTATGACTACCAGAATGTCACGACTGGTGCATTTGATGAGAGCGGACCGCCCCTGAGCCAAAAGGGAAGCGACACGTACCATATGTGGACCATGATCGGAACGTATAACTACGTGTTGTACTCTGGTGATTTCGCATGGCTAAAACCTGTATGGGGAAAGTACCAACACGCCATGTCATTTGTCCTCGCCAAGATCGATGACACAGGATTGATGAATGTGACAGGGACGAGGGACTGGGCGCGCTGGCAGCAGGGTTGGCATAATACGGAGGCAAACATGATTCTGCACCAGACACTTACAACAGGCGCAAAGTTGGCGACATGGCTCAACAACAGCACGCTCGCGACCGACTGGAGCGCTCGTGCCACC